GTACATTTCCGTCTGAATTTTCCGGGACAAATTCCGGTAATTTTTATCGTGTTCCATTTTTATCGAGTTCCACTGAAATTTCAGGAAATTTTGTCTTTGAAAAATCAAATATTCCATTGATTTTCCATCGATTTTGGCGAAAGTCGACTTTCCCCCTGGAAAAATCCAAGATCTGACACTTTGGCCCCCGGTGAAAAATTTTTTTTTTCAGTTTTCACTTTTTCCACATACTTTTGAGAGTTCTGAATTGCTCGTCGTTTAAATAGTTGGAATCTACGTTCACCCGGCTAAAAAATTAGATTTTGGCGAAAGTCGAGTTTCTCCCTGGAAAAACGGAAAATCTGACCCTTTGAAAATCTGAAAAAAAAACTTTTTCAGTTTACACTTTTTACACGTACTTTTGAGAGTTCTGAATAGCTCGTGGCTTAAATAGTTGGAATCTACGTTCACCCGGCTAAAAAATTCGATTTTGGCGAAAGTCGACTTTCTCCCTGGAAAAACGGAAAATCTGACCCTTTGAAAATCTGAAAAAAAAAAACTTTTTCAGTTTACACTTTTTACACGTACTTTTGAGAGTTCTGAATAGCTCGTAGCTTAAATAGTTGGAATAGTTGACCCGCCGTGGGAAATTTTTTTTTTCAGTTTTCACTTTTTCCACAAGAGATCGGCCGCGCGTGCTGCGCACGCGCCTTCTCATCTCCTCACGTAGTGTCGCTTCGGTTTCAGTCTTCCGCTTACGCGTATTCGAGATTTTCGAGATATATCGAGACCGATTTCTTCTCTCCGTTTTACGATAGGATTACGGAACTTTACCGCGCCATTTCTTGAAGAGATACTCAAGAAAAAAGTCGATACCATATCGACTTTTATACACACCAGAATTTACATTATTTCTCCTGGGCATTGATGAGGAAAATAAGGATGTGGTGGATCTGTCAATCCAGCTGTTCGATCATTTCGCATCTGATCCTTTGTAGCGCGACACCCGCGGCATTTGGCCCAGTTGGAGAGGTGGATTGCATATAGTCAGTGAAAAAGACACTCCAGGACAATGATCTCAAGTATGACGAAATAAAGAGCACAGGGGAGCGGTTCCCCGGTCTCCTTTATTCACTTTCAACCTCTTCAGACCCGCATTATACCATCATTTCCATTGAATTTTGAATTCTAGGTGAGATGATTTGCCCCGAGGACTATGCTGTAATCCGTATTCCACTCAGAGAAAAATGTTCGATTAAAATTACAAGGCAATTTATGTAAAATGTGGGTTGAAATGCTCTTTTTAAAGAATTTTGTTTTTGTTTACAGAATAAAAAAATCATGTGAGAGGAAGGATGCATTGATCCTTTCAATTCGGAGAATTCATTTGATCAAATTGCACGGTTGAAAAAATGATAAGTTAATAAAATATTCTGAATAAAGTTCCAATTTTTAATTTGGTGCTGATAACACGAGATGACAATATTCTAAGCAAAGAAGTATATTGACGAAATGAATAATAGATTCATGGAATTACCGTGTGAACTATCTTGAATCAAGTCGAAAATCGACTTGAATCAAACCAAAAAAGCAACTCGAATTAAGTTGAAGAATCGACTTGAATCAATCCGAAAATAGACTTGATTCAAGCCGAAAAATTGACCTGAATCAAGTCGAAAAATCTACTTGAATCAAGCCAAAAAATTAACTCGAATCAAGTCGAAGAATTGACTTGAATCAAGCCCAACATTCGCCTTGAATCAAGCCGAAAAATCGACTCGAATCAAGTCGAAGATTGACTTGAATCAAGCCCAACAGTCGCCTTGAATCAAGTCGAAGGATTTACTTGAATCAAGCCCAACAATCGCCTTGAATCAAGTCGAAAAATCGACTCGAATCAAGTCGAAGATTGACTTGAATCAAGCCCAACAGTCGCCTTGAATCAAGTCGAAGGATTTACTTGAATCAAGCCCAACAATCGCCTTGAATCAAGTCGAAAAATCGACTCGAATCAAGTCGAAGATTGACTTGAATCAAGCCCAACAGTCGTCTTGAATCAAGTCGAAAAATCGACTCAAATCACAGTCGCCTTGAATCAAGCCGAAAAATCGACTCGAATCAAGTCGAAGAATCGACTTGAATCAAGCCGAAAATAGAAAGCGGAATATTGCACACGCGGAGCTTGCGCAAAATTTTACTTTACACACACGTGATGAAAACCCCTTTTCTCCAATAGTAAAAAAACAAAACATAACTAATGTTGAAACACCCATTTACAAAAGTCCCTCAATATGTCATAAAAAGCCACAGAATAAAACTGTTACATTCATCGTGTTATTATTCCCAATGACACCGACCCCGAACGTCCGATTGTGAGTGACACCATCGAGGATACGTTAACACCTCGCACCGATAAATTCCCATCTCCACTTTATTTGTCACAGGGTAAATTATCACCCATTGAACGACATCAATTACCTAACGGTTTCCTGTTGATACGTTCACGACGAATATTGAAATATCGCTTTCAGCGATTACCATAAACCATACCAAATCAATCAATTTCCCACTATACTTTTTAGTTCAGTATTAATGTTCAGGAGAGGAATATTAATGTGGATTTACTGGGAAATATAATGAAATTTGAAATTTCACTGAAAATTGAATGCAATTTCACATTTTTTAGCTGCAAAAAGATGAGGATTCCCCGTTTTACTTGAATTTCCCGTAATAAAACAAATATTTTGTACCCAATTGTACAAAATTTTCAAATAATTAAAATTTTAAGGATATTTTTAACCGAATTTTTCACATTTTTATTAATTTTCAAGAAACAATTTAATTGAATTTTACTGTTTTCATTAAATCAATTCTCAAAATTTAATGTTTTCCCATCTGATTCTGAATTTTCAGTAAAGCTATAATTTTATTGAAAATTCCAAGAAGTTCACGGAAATTTCAGACAAAGAATTTTCACCAGTACACTGAAATCCAAAAAACGAAATCGCTTGAAAAACAATTGTTTCAATTAATTTCCATCAATTATGATCGTAAACTGACAAATGAGCGACTTCGCAATACGAGAATTCATCATCAACGTAATATTATTGGAATGCGTGGGTGATTGTCCGTAAAAGCGACCGGTGAATGCGCCCCGATGACTGGAGGCTGTGGGTAAAAATGCCCGGAGGGCATGAATGAGAATAAAATGAAAGAAAAGACGAGCTATTTCGCTGGAAATGCCCACATTGTATCAAATTGAGGACACTGGCCCCTTCATAATGAATTACCGTTGATTATCGAGGTATTGTCAGACGCATCGATGCAAGTGATAAATCAATTCATCACGTGCGTAATGATTGTGAATGAATTGGAAAGAAGGCTAGAGGTTCGTGGAATTGACAGTCAGAAAAAATTGAAATTTGATTGAACTGAAATTTACAGTTTCTATTAATTTCTTCATTAAACTTTAAATTTTTAAAATGTTCAGTAAATTTCATTGTCACTAAAATGTGATAAATATTTCCAAAAATTTGTTAACAGATCATCATTAAAATTTTATCGACAGATCATTTTTCTTCATTCCGATAAAAATAATTATATCAGGATAATTAACTCAGGATTTGATTAACTGGGTTTGTTGCAACCTGGCCTATATCGTCCACTCGGAATTATTAATCCCCAATGAACCTCCGAAAATCAAATAAGCGTATCAAGGAAAAAATAAAAGAATAAAAATCAGAGGAACAGAATTGCGTAATAGTCAACATGTCGGCGCATGTGTGCGCTCAGGAGATAGTGCCCGAGGCTGCCAGAGACCTTGCCGACGTGCATGAGAACTGGGTTGCCGGGTCCCCCGTGTGCTGATCTCTTGCGCTTGCGCACCATCTCACCGGGTCCATCGCACACCCGAATCGGATCTGCGACTCGATCTAGACTACAGCGTTCCCTTTTTCAAATTTTTATTCATTTTTGCTTTCGAATGGAAGCATTGTACTCGTTCAAATTCAAGTTTTGGATATTTTGGGTTATATCGACCCGTTATGATCCAAAAAGTCCAACAATGCAATTTTTAAACCGTGAATGAACGGATGGAATCAATTTTTTTTCAAATGTAGGTATTGATGAGACCTATCGATCGCCATTAATCAAAATTTAATTCGTCCATTATTTTTTTGAATTTCTGAATTTTTTCGAAAATCGGTTGTTCCACGATAACAAAAAAAATGTTCTAAATTGTTTGAATGATGGCTTCAAAAATTTGTTTAGATGTCCCTTTGGCCGAGTTCGAAGACCAAGGCGATAGCAATAATCGTTATTTTGATTTTTTGGAAAATTAAAAAAATTTTGTATTTTTTGAAAATCAGAATTCCGGGGATATCTTTAAATAGCATGCTTCAAATGAATTCAATCATAGCTTAAAATGTTTGTTTTAATGCCATTAAGTCGAAGTTAAAAGATTATTACGATAGCTATATTGGTTGATTTGATTTTTATGATTGTTGAAAATTTCGAATTTTTCATGAATTTCCCTGAAAGTGAGCTTTTTGATGGTTTCTTCAAATGTAATGTTTCAAATTCATTCAAGTATGTGTAAATAAAGTTTTCTATTAACATCTTATCGAAGGGCTGAGGGGAGAGATAGAACTGTAAAAAAACAATCGGTTGTATAGAAGAAAGGGATAATAAGAATAATGATGCTGATAACATTCAACTAAGTTGAAAATCTGACAAAATTAGTTGAAAAGAAATCTTATTCAATTTAATAAAATGAAATAAACAATGAATTATACATGATAGAACTAAATGATGTGCAAAATAATTACTCGGAAGCATATTCCTAATTTATTAGTTAAAATAACTATAATATATTCCATACAAAAGTAATTTCCCACTTATTTTATTCTCACGTAAAGATGAGAGACTGCCTTTTGCGCTGATTAATGACTCGGCTCGATGACGAATGAATCTCTCGCGACTAATAGATCCTCAAGAATGACAATTATCATTTTTATTTTTAGGTACTGGGACCCGTCTCTGGCTGTCATGTCAATCCCGCTGTTACTATTGGTCTTCTAGCGAGTGGTAATTGCAGTATTCTCAAGGCATTGTGTTACGTTGTGTGTCAGTGCTGCGGGGCAATCGCTGGGGCTGCTGTTTTGAAGGTGAGTTACTAATTTTTGCGATTGTATGATCGATAGATCTGGACAATAATCTGTTGTTGCATATTGAGGCGAGCTGAAAGGTGAATGCATTCTTAATGGATTCGATGGACTCGTGATCGGCGGAGTGATTTATTTGGACTGACTGAATTCATTAGCATTTCATCACGTCATATTAGCATAGTGGAGTCGTTTCGAGATGAAAAATTGAATCGTTTCGGAGAGATTATTTTGTAAATGATGAATTTTGGGAGGAGTGATATGAGAGGTCGCGTCTTTGAGAAATTTTCTACGAAAATTGTCTGGGGGATTTCTCTAAATGTTCTGGAGACACGATAACGTTATTATTTCAGTCATGAAGTCCCGAAATGGAATTAATCAGGAGCTCGAAGGAATCCATTGAATGAAACAGTAACTTGGGAGATTTTTTCTAGTTTATTCGTTATTAAGATATTTGCACAGTAATTCGCATCACATTTTTTATTTCATTACAGATTTTCGTGATTAAATCAAGTGATTAAAATAAAAAACGAATCGAAATACTAATATTATGATTTTTTAATTGTTTCTCATTCACGAAAGAAAAACATTCATTTTTCACTTAAAATTCAATAAATTTGTTTTGTAAAAAGTTGATTTCGTGATGTTTGGTAAATTTCTCTAAATCTCTCGGAGACACGATAATTTAGTTATTTCAGTCATGAGAACCCAAAAGGGAATTAATAAAAAAATATTGGAATGAATCCATTCCATGAAAACGTAATTTGGGAGCTTCTTTAAATTTATTCATTCCCAAAACATTTGCGAAGTAATTCACATTACATTTTCTATTTCATTAAAGATTTTTTCAATTAAATCAAGTTACGAGGATAAAAAATGAGTCCAAATATGAATATTATCATGATAAAATTGTTCTTCATTCACGAATAAAAAACATTTAATCCTCACTTAAAATAAAATAAATACAATTGTTTTGTTATAAGTGAATTTTGATAATAATGTCACAAGAGGTTTCGAATCTAAAAAATGTTCTACGAAAAATGTCTGGTGAATTTCTATAAATTTCTCTCGGAGACACGATAATTTGATTATTTCAGTCATGAACTCCGAAAAACGAATTAATATCGAGCGAAGAAGTTCGCCGAAATTTATTAAATGCAAAGATTTTTTTTGTAGACTATCAATTTATTTATTCTCATGTATTATCATGATAAAATCGTTCCTCACGAAAATAAATTCCATTCATCACTTGGACTGAATAAATAAAATTGTTACTAAAAAATTCCAAACATCCCAGAAAAACTTAAATGAACTGCAACCACGTCTCAAGATTCTCCGATAAAAATTGCAAATGAAACTTCGACTTAAAAAAAGATAATCATCGCCGCATTACAATGATTCATGTGTAACTTATCTCCCATTTTATGTAAATTCATCGCAATCACGAGACGAAAAGAACTCCTAAAATTTGTTCCGAATTCTGCGAAGCTCATTTGACAAGGCGAGCATGAAAATGCTCACGCGATCACTCGATCAGATTAAAATTCCCAGGCGGCTTTGTATTCCTCTTGATTTTAATCGAGGGCGGGTAATGACAATTCTGCACATGTGCCGCGCCCTCTCGTGTTCCGAGAAATGTATTGAAAGAAGAATCAAAAGGAGAGAGTGCTGAGGGATTATAGAGTTAAAATAAGTACACAATTATCTTCCCTCCTTTCCTTTCATTCAGGTTTTATCATAAATTACTTTTGCTATAGCGAATTCGCTACAGAAAATTCTATCGGATTTCTAATGAACTTTCCATTAGTTTTTAGTCGATTTCATTAAAATAATCTACGGCTTATCTGCGCGTTCTTTTAATAGAAATTTTGCATGAAAAATATTCTATAGAAAAAATCAATATAATTAGTTTTTTCAGTATAATGTACTTCACACGGAGAGAAAGAATTAGTTGTGCCGAAAAACTGAATGTTCCTCTGAAGAGATCTTTTGTCGTGTTGAATCAATTTACTTGTGGACAAAAGGAATGTTTCCACCAAAGCATGATAATTTTCGTAGTAGTAATTGTTCTCGTGAGACATTTATATGTCATTCAGGTGAATACATTCGCTCTACAGAGAATTGAGGCTCCGGTTTTATTAAGTCAATGTTATTAAGTAGTGTATATGTTTGTCCAATAACCACTTATAATTTGCACGGAACAAATGATAATTTCAAGAGGAAACTACAATTTTCTTGCCGAAAAGTGTTATTGGCAAAACTAAATAATTTCGAGGGACAATTTTTTTTGGGAAAAAAATATTCTTTCCTCGTCAATGCATTCGTTCTATGGTACAAACCGGTGGAGTTTTCTCAGATGGAATCATTGTCGTACAATAGATTATATTTTTTCCTGCCGACAGTTCGAATTCTTCTCGGGATATTTCTGATAATCACGACAAAAATTCAATTTTTGCGAAAGATATTAAATTTTGTTCTGTGGGGTTGGTTGATTCTCCTCAAATAAGTCTATTCCACTGTAGATAATTTATTCTCTCATCGTATTGAGATATTTTCTTTAAAAATTCCTCGACTTCAATTTTCTATGTTTTTTGGTTTGTTTTTTTTTAAATGAAAACCAGAAAATTGAAGTGAAAAATCAGAAAATTTATGTTCAGAAATTTCTATAGATAATGTTTCAATAGAGAAAAAAATTATAGAAAAATCAGATTCTACTGTTTTTTTCTGTAAAATAGTTCGAATTGAAGACGCTAGGTTTTTCTATTTATTTTTTTCTTGCATATATTACTATCGTAAAATTTAATATGAAAAAAAAAAATAGATTGTTGAACACTGAAATCGAAAAGGAAATATTTCAACCTAATAATAGTAAACATTGTGAAGGTGTAGGTGTAATGATTATTGTGTGTTGCATAGTCCATTTCACCCTCTTAACAGTCATTTTCTATAGATAATCAGTAAAAACTGTACATTTCAGTTCAATTGTTCCATAAAAGTCAATAGAAATCAGAAAAATTCAAGTAAAAAATATTCTTCAATTTTCGAATTAATGAAAAATTGCAACAAACAATTGAAATTTCATTATTTTTCCCCATAAATAAAATTCAATGTCGCTGGCCTGGAAATTACTACTAAACTGCCCACGAAAATCCAAAAGTCTTCTAATTGCGCAAAAATCCCATGCAAAAATTATGACACCACAATATTTTTTATTATTAGTAGCATAAATGACCTCTAATGGAAGAGATTGCGATTTTCATACATAAATTTTTATTATTAAACTTTCCATTTTTATTAAACTTCAAGATAGAAACGAGAAAATAACGACTCGTGACATCACACTTTTAGTTTTTAGCAAATAGTTATCTCCGTGTAGAGAGAAAATTGAGTGAGTGGCGCGAAAAATGAGTTATAAAATAAAAAATATGATAGTTCCCTGGAAACAAAAGCAAATTTAAACGCAGAGCATTTGAATGAGAGATTCGAAGCTCAATTAAAGTGTCACTGCGCAAGGTCAAGGTTCCAACGGTCCGGTTTTTATATGTTTCAAGTGGAAGGTGCCCGTTACATCACAGACAACCGGTATATCATCTATCTACTTCGGTATTCGAGGAAACAATTTCACATTTTACACCTGTCGAAATGTTTTTTCATGGTCGAATTATCTTGTCACGAGGTGAATTTGTCGATAGGGTGATATCAGATCGTTTAGAGATTCTTAGGAATGGAGTGATATGATAGCTATCTACTTGAAATAAAAAAAGATTGAGAATTAATCGCCACTTTTAAGGGGAGATTCACCCCGAAAAATTCTGCGGTTTGCATTTCCGCTGAAATTTGCGGTAAGAGTCTTGGAAATTTCCAACAAGTATTATTTCCACTAAAATTTCAAGGAATTTTGACGTTGAAAATTCATAATTTCATGGATAATCCGTGGGAACTATAAATTGCATTTTAATTATTCTGGGAACATTAATGAAAAAACAGGAAACTTCAGAGGAATCTCTCCCCAAATTGCAGATTCCTCTGAATTTTCTGGGAATTCCTTCAAAATTCCTGGAATTCCAAGAATATTTAAAGAATTTGATCTTTAAATTTTCATGAATTTTTGTCTTCCTGCCTAAAAAATTGGGACTATACGTAAATATTGAGAAACACTTGAAAATCCATTGAGTTTTTTCCCTTAAATCGAATTCAAGATTTTTTTCCGGAAAATTAAGCTGATTTTTTCAACAATGTACAGAGCAAGAAAAGACTAGGCGGATACATTTGGATCACTAAACATAGAGTTAGCATCGAGGTTAGCATTCATAAATAAGGTTTATACGTAATATTTGAAAAAGAAAAAATTTTTCCTTGAGATATCAATAGAAACGAACATCTTTCTAAATAGTTAATAGAAAATTAGTAGAGGTCTTCAAGCGTGAAGATATCATGAAATTTCCGGCTTCGATTTTCAGGGACACGACAATAATTATCCGATAGAAATCGGGAAGTTAATCCCTTTGAGAAAAAATACATTGTAACGTTTTCCGAAGCCAATCTATTTGACCTAACGGGTTTCTTTCTTTAGTATACAAAATTTATAGTATAATATAGTGTAGTATAGTATCTATAATATACTATATAACAAAAAAATATATATTCATATGATATTTGAAAAAAAGAAAATAGAAAATTCTAAAAAAAAGAGGCCGGGCGGTATTACCCTCAAAGTTCGATTCCATCGCTCACTGGCCGATGGCAGTTGAATTACATAATTAAATATGTTTAATGTTAATAAAAAATCTGTCCTCTTCACATCTTCGAGTAAACACCTCGAAGAACCCATTCTAACCGTTTATGACTCTTTGTGGAGAGCGGGGCTGGAAGAAACGACTCAAAAAAAAAAAAAAAAAAAGACTCATTTCCCTCAGGTGGGCGGTACATGCACCAGCTCCCCTCCGCGCGCGGGATAATCTACTAATAATAAAATCAATATTTTTCAGGTCGTAATTCCGTCGACGGTTCAGGCCAACGGGTTAGGTGCGACAACCCTGGGCACGAATATTGACGGCGGCCAGGGTGTTCTTATGGAGGCAATAGTCACCTTCCTCCTGGTCCTTGTGGTCCACGCAGTGACAGACCCCAAGAGACCGGACACGCGGGGCTGGGCCCCCCTGGCAATCGGCTTAACAATATCCGTGGCTCACATGGCCGCTGTCCCGATAACCGGGAGCAGCATGAACCCGGCCAGAACCCTCGGTCCTGCTGTGATTCTCACTGAGTGGAGCGATCACTGGGTCTACTGGGTCGGCCCAATCCTTGGGGGTGTCGTCGCTGGTGGCCTCTACAAAACAGGACTTCGAGTCAAGTCCAAGGAGGACGACGAGGCTTCATACGACTTCTGAATATTTTTACTGAAAATACAAAACTATATGTGAAAGCGGGCTTTCGTTAAGTAGATTAAGCTTAGGGTTATCTCATCGTCATTTTTTTTTTTTTTTTAAGTGGCAGCTGTTTTCTCGTTATTTTTAGGATATTAATTGATCATGATGTTTCGCGGGAGGAAGTTCAGTAGGGAAGTCGGATTATATTGAGGTTTTGCAGATTTATATCGAGAAATGTTCAGTCTTCGAATATTCCGCATTAATAATGTCTGAAGACAGTTTTTTTGAAATTAATTTGATTGGAACTATTTCTCATGGAGTTTGATCTATTGAAATTCTTTGGGATTTTGGAAGTTTCTCTCTTACATTTTTCAATGTGAGATGAAAGAAAACACGATAATAAATTATGTTGCATGAATTGATCTGAAATTTATCGGATTCAAGGATTTTTTCTTCTGGATTTTCTCAATTCAGTTGAAAATTTTCATTTTAATCAGTTTGTCCCCAGCCCTAATGAGAGATAGCGCAGTTGTTTAGAATAAAAACGGCGGATGAAAAAAATATATGGAAAAATCATGAACTATTACTATTTATGATGATATTTCACGTGAGGAATTTCAGGAGAAAATTCCAATTCTATCAAGTTTTTGCCTATTTTTAGCGAAAAATATGCTAAATCTTTTTGAAATCAATTTGATTGAACCTATTTCTCATGAAGTTTGATCTATGGAAATTCTTTGGGATTTTGAAGGTTTCTCTCTTGCATTTTTCAATGCGAGACGAAAGAAAATATGATAATTAATTATGTCGCATGAATCAAAAATCGTTGGCTTCAAGAATTTTTTTTTCAGGAATTTTCCCAATTCAGTGGAAAATTCTGATTCAATTGAGTGTTCACCTATTTTTATCGAGAAATAATCCAAATCTATTTGAAATCAATTTGATTGAAACTATTTCTCATTAAGTTTGATCTATTGAAATTCTTGGGAATTTTGGAGGTTTCTCTCTTGCATTTTCCAAAACGAAAGAAAATATGATAGATTTTGTTCCATGAATAGATCAGAAATCTTTCAGTGGAAAATTCTCATTCTATTTAGTCCGTCCCCATTCTTATCGAGAAATAATGCAGTTCTTCTGCGCATTCTTCAGACTACAAAAGTCCAATGAAAAAAAAGCCTACGAAAGAATCACTTCGAAGTCAGTTTGATCGAAACTATTTCTCATGAAACACAATCCATTGAAAAAAATTCCCTTTCCTTCTTGAATTTTTAAATTTTCTTCTCGATATTCTCCTATTGAATATATTCTGATACATTTTCTCCTGAACCCCATCATAAATCAAAATCGATAAAAAAAAATGTATGATATTACTCCGAGAAATTCAATGATCGAAAAACAATCAAACTGTTTTATTATTTTTATTAAGATTGCAATTATACTCGTGTTTATTAAGTATTAATGTCAATTAAGATTTTGTATATATTGTACTTACGTTTCTAGTATTATAACGTACCTATGTAATTGCACCCAATTTTTTATGTACAACAGATCAAAATATAGATCATCAAACCTCTAATTACCATTTTTTTAACTGGCAAATGTGAGGACTAAATTATGACGGATTGTTAATGTAATTTGATTTAATAAATCAAAAGAGATTTAATAAAAGACTAGCGAACGGGCGCCTCGCGCCCGTCGCTAGATTATATTATATTGTATTAATTTATTTTATTGTTTTCTTTCCAATTTTTCTTTGTTGCTAGATTAAATTAAATTTATTGGATTCTATTCTCATTGTAGTATACAAATTTTGGGAACAGTTTTTCTCATTTTCAAATAAAGAGATATTTATGTTAAATAATATCAGTATAATATAATAATTCCTCTCAATGAAATCAGATCATGAAAACGAAAAATTTCATTTTCATAATCTGATTTCATTGAGAGGAAATGAGAAAAATGCAGGGAGAGATGATCAGCAAGAAAATGAAAGAAAACGATTTTTTATTTTTCTGAAAAATTTAAAAACTGATTTTTTTTTAAATGACGGAAAAATATCAATATGTTCCCTTTCTATGATCTAATTTCAATTGAAAAAAGTATAAAAAAAACAGAAATACGTAATCAGCAAGAAAATGAAAATTTCGATTTTTCAATGTCTCCAGAAAGTTTTAAAATTGATATATTTTTTCAAATAATGAAAGAATACCCATCAATTCAATTTGTACCCTCACATTTTGATAGAATACATAAAAAAATAGCAAAGAATAAAAATCGGAGATGAAAAATTTTATCGGATTAATGTAATGTAATGTAATAATTATATGAAGAGCATGTGATTGTGTCCAGATTATTGAACTTTGGGGGATAAGCTAATGATAGAGCTTCGCACCGCGTGGTCGTTCCCCTCACGCTCCGAAGAATCAGAAATAGAGTGCACGGAAATAGAGAAGAGTCTTTTTAGGGGCAGTTCAACGTGACTTCTCGTCATCAACGCTCGCCTTTTCATTAGAGCAAACGTCGTGCAACGTTTCTGAACGTTTTTTAAAGTTTCGGTATTGAAAGTGAAAATGGAGGAAGATGATATTGAGATCGCGAATTACTTCAAGGCTAATTTAGTGGCGATGAGACGCGCGGTTGACGACGAAGATTTCCGGAATTTCGCGAATTTGGAGAAGAATAGTGAGAGGGTGGCTTTCGTATTGAAGTACCCTGAGGCTCACGTTTTGCCGCTGGAGATTGAAGACGCTCCGGTGAAGAGTCTGGAGAAAGCTCTGAAGATCAAAGAGTCTGGGAATAAATACTATGCGCAGGGGAACTTTTTAAAGGCCCTGGAAACTTATTCGAATGCAGTTCTGATAACTCCGAAAGAAGGTCAGCTTGTGACGTGTTGAAATTTTTTATTCCACTGGATTAAAGGATTCGAAAATTTTAGTGGGGAAATTAATGGAAATAATAAAATCGAAGGGACGGTTTTTAAGAAATTCTACAGACATGCAATGAGAGAAAAAATTTATTCTGCAGAAAAATTCTGTTCCCCTGAAGATCTTTTGTCTTTTTTTTATTCCATTGGATTAATGGATTAGAAAATTTTAATTAGTATTATGATTCTAGTAGTGAAGTGGGGATATTAATGGAAATAATCAAATTTAAGGGACGGTTTTTGGAGAAATTCTACAGACATGCACTGAGAGATAAAATTAATTCTGCAGAAAAATTATGTTCCCCTGAAGATCTTTTGTCTTTTTCTTATTCCATTGGATTAATGGATTAGAAAATTTTAATTAGTATTATGATTCCAGTAGTGAAGTGGTGAAATTAATGGAAATAATCAAATTTAAGGGACGGTTTTTGGAGAAATTCTACAGACATGTACTGAGAGAAAAAATTAATTCTGCAGAAAAATTATGTTCCTCTGAAGATATTTCTTTTTTTTCATTTCATTGGATTGATAGATTAGAAAATTTTAATTAGTATTATGATTCCAGTAGTGAAGTGGTGAAATTAATGGAAATAATAAAATTTAAGGGACGGTTTTTGAAGAAGTTCTACAGACATGTACTGAGAGAAAAAAATTATTCTGCAGAAAAATTATGTTCCTCTGAAGATATTTCTTTTTTTTCATTTCATTGGATTGATAGATTAGAAAATTTTAATTAGTATTATGATTCCAGTAGCGAAGTGGGGAAATTACTGGAAATAATTAAATCGAAGGGACGGTTTTTAAGAAATTCTACAGACATACACTGAGAGAAAAGATTAATTTTGCAGAAAAATTATGTTCCCCTGAAGATCTTTTGGCTTTTTTTTTATTACAATAACTAAAATTATTAATTCTAATAACAACATTATTCATAGAGCAACGAAATTTTGGTATTACATTCCGGTAGAACTGGGAATCTTCCTAGCGAATAGGTCAGCTGCTCTGAACAACCTCGAGCTCTACGACCTCGCCCTGAAGGACATCGAGGAAGCCCTGCGGATCGGTTACCCCAAGGAGTTGCTCTACAAAATAGAGGAGCGCCGTGCGAAATGTTATTTAGCTGTGAAGAACCATCCGGCTGCCGTGGAAGCATTCCGGGAAACTCTCCAAGCGCTGGACCATGCGAAGCTTCCCTTGGAACGAAAGCAGAAGCTCGAGTCGGACATTCGGCTGATGCTGGCCATGATGGAGAAGTCTAAACAGCTCAGTGAGGGAAGTAAAGCTAAAACTCCTGTGAACGCACCGCCGAAGGATGGGAGTGATTTACACGTGCCAGTTCCGAAAATTAAAGAGGCCAATCCAGCGTATCCAGCTTGCAGTTCTGCTGTGGAAATCAGGGATGCAGGTGGAGATATCGGGAGACATGGCATTGCGACTCGGGATATCATGCCGGGGGAAGTGATTATCATTGAGAAACCGCATTGTGCTGTAGTACTGGGGGAGTATAGGTGAGATATAGCTAGTTGCAGAGAATGGACACGAATGAAAAAATTTAATAGAAAAACCCGGCCAATTCTATAGACAATTCTATTGGAATTCTATTGGGCTTTCTATAAGTTTTTGGACGATTCTATCGAAATGTTCAATGGAAAATATTCTGTAGAGAAAATCAATCGAATTCGATTTCTCTATATAACATATTTTATTGAGATATTTTCTGTAGAATTTCCTAGGCTAAGACTTTCCAGGTTTTCTTGTTTGATTTTCTTAATGGAAAAAAAGAAAAATAGAATGAAAAAATCGACTTTTTGAGAGTTCTGAATAGCCCGCCGCTTAAGTAGTTGGAATCAACGTTCACCCGGCTAAAAAAATAGATTTTGGCGAAAGTCGACTTTCCCTCTGAAAAACGGAAAATCTGACCCTTTGAAAATCTGAAAAAAAACACTTTTTCAGTTTTCACTTTTTCCACATACTTTTGAGAGTTCTGAATAGCCCGTTGCTGAATAGTGCCGCTTAAATAGTTGGAATCAACGTTCACCCGGCTAAAAAAATCGATTTTGGCGAAAGTCTACTTTCCCCCTGGAAAAACCGAAAATCTGACCCTTTGGCTCCGAACCTTTTGGTTTGTTAGAATTTTCTAACGAATTCGATAGGTTTTTCCATTAAATTTTTTCGCCCGTGAGACTAAATTTGTCTGGAGAGAATTTATTCCACAGTTAGATATTTTTAGGAATTCGGTGTAGAGTTCTATAATTCAGCCATTAGGTCGTGAATATAGAATAAATACTCCGTAATTAGGGGCATTATGAAGTATTTATTGGATATTCATAAACTTCAATCGAGCCTAAAGCTTGTTATTTATGTCCTGAGATACGCCATAAAAATCCCCTAAGGACAAAAGTATTTTATTTATTTAGTTATTTATTTATTTAAAGCTTCAGGCAGACGCCCATTGAAGCCTATGAAACAGTACAGAGTAGTACATAATATTATTGAGAGCACAAAGAGCTCCACACAAACAAAAAAAAATTTTAAAGGAAAAAACCCCCCGGCAGTTACCAACATATAATATTACAATGAAAAATAATATTACAAATTAAATATATATGAAAATATAGCACTGAAATGCGCATTAATAGCAGCCATATTCAAAAGTATGTAACACAATAATATAGAATAAAATAAATGAAAATGCTCAACAAAAAATACATAAGCGTTGTTAATGAATCAAAAGTGACTTATATTTGCAGAGAGAAGCATTCCATAATCAAATAAACAGAAAAATCATCATCCATACACATAAAACAAAGATATTATAAGGAAGAAATTCTTGATTGAAAAAATTTCAAACCCAAAATGAATGTAAATTATGCTTATATTTAATTATATATAGGGGAGGGAGGGGTAAAATGGAGACTTTTTGCTTTTTTAAAAATATTCCCAAGTCAGAAAAATATTTATCAATTGAGCTGAATCTAAACTCGCCACAAAGGAGAAGAATTGTCCTGTCAATTGAAAAATAAAATTATTTTATTTCATGAACAATTCAACACGTCATGAACATTTAAAAAAAAGTCAAGTGTCCATTTTACCCCACCCTCCCCTACACAATGTAGTATAATGTGTAATTATATGTATAATTATGTATAGTTATATATATATTGCTTTTTTTTGTTCTCCACGATTGATTCAGATGAGAATTTGTTTTGAAAATTTCCGAATTTTTCTGAAAACGTGATCCAATGAAGATGCTCCGAATTTCAGATTGGCGAACTGTCACTATTGCTTCAAGAAAAACATAGCTCCCTTTGCCGCGGCGTGTGACACGTGCGCGCTAGTCGCGTACTGCAGCGGGAAATGCCGAGACGCGGATGCGAAAACCCACGCCAGCGAGTGCAGCATATTGGGACCTCTCTGGCTGTCCAACGCCTCCATCACCTGTCTCCTGGCGATCAAGGCGGTCATTCAGAGGCCTTACGCCAAATTTAGGAAGTTGAAAGACGAAATAGAGAACTCTGATAAGAAGTTCCATGCCTCCAAGGATCATCCCTTCAGGGGGAGTGACTACATGGCCTTTCAATCAATGGGTAATCACTTTTCACTGCTCTGGCCTTGAGATCATCACAGAATTTCAGATGATTATGATGATTCTAGGTAATTTACGAAGAGAAAATCGATAATATCTGTCAGCAGATATTTTCGGCGGCTGAAAAAAATGAAAGCGAAAATAATCTCTTGATATTCACTACTCAATTCTGAAATGGTTTCTATAATTTTTTAATTTAAAAACATAGACATCCGTTATTGCGTCACTTCTTCAATGAATGATGGATCAATGCACGGAGTCGAATTAACGAAATTGTTTTTCTAGCATCATCTCCAAATTTCCATAATCACGAAAAAAATTTAAATATCCGTTATTTTGTTCCTTCTTTAAAGTAGTATAAACATAGCTTGAACTTACATGATTAAAATCTGAAATAAACTCTAAACAAAAGTTACTATGAGTAGAAACATTCTGATTGAGTTTGTGTTCAATCGGCAGTCTAGAATTATTGTGAATAATTAATCTGGAAGTGCAAAAATAATGATGATTTTTTTCCCCTTTTCAAATTTATTTCTCCTCGTTACACTCAACGACTCAACTGGAGTTTATTCATACTACTATAATGAATGAACCAAATCAGTTAAATGAAATAATATTTCTGAAGTCCTCTTCAAACTTTCGTCTTTGAGAAAACCCAAAATATGAACGTAATTTACTTTGTCAATTTTCTAAGGAACTGATTGAATTAATTAATTAAATTAAATCAAATTAAATCAAATGGGGAAATTTTTCCGTTCCCAGTCACGCACGAAAGCGAAAGGACGGAAGAAGACCTCTTCCACAGAGCATACATGGCCGCATGGCTCCTCAGGGTACTGAAGAAGAGTGCCTATCTCCCCGAAGACCTGAAAACCCCAGACCTCGCTGAATACACCCTCACCGAGGATGAATCATTCCTCGGAGGCCTCCTACTCCACCACTTACAGCTCCTCCAGTTTAATACCCACGAGATATCCGAATTAGTGAGACCGAGGAACGATAAAACCCTGCAAAGAGCTAAGAGTAATTTCATCGCTGGAGGTTTATTCTGCACACCCGCTCTGTTAAATCATTCCTGCAATCCTGGCGTTGTTCGGTGAGTTCAGAATAAGGATGCGCTAAAATTGACGGCACGTCATATGAACGTCACATGCACTGCTAAATATTTTTGTCTGAATTTTCCGTGCCAAATTCCGGAAAATTTTACCGTGTTCCAATTCCACTGAAATTTCAGGAACTCTTGTCATTGAAAATTCAGAATTTGGTGGGAAAATCAAACACAACTGTAAATTTCCGTTGCATTTTTCTCTGAAAATGAATAGAAAACCAGAAAATTCTGGTAAATATATTCATGAATTTTCAGGACAGTCACACTGAATGCGATTTCCTCTATGAAAAAATTGGTGTCACCTTTTTCGTCAGCAATCCATTTCGCCAGAGATAACCTTAAGCCTAGGAACAAAGATAATCTTTGCTTAAGATGCTAGATTATACAAATCTGTTTTATATTCCTTTTAAAAAAAATATTTTCTGAATATATATTTTATAGATAGATATATACATATATATAATGATAGAAATAGTTACTGGAAAAAATATCTTCTTTTAAAGTGATAAAAAACGATTTATATAACCCACGATCTTCAGCAAAAATTAAAACTAATGAATGGATTCTGTTCTGGATACTTTATGAAACAATTTAACTATCTTGTGACATGAAGCAATCATTTAGTGTATATAAAATAAATAATATAATTCTAGTTGTAAAAAAAAAGTCATGGTAGAAATGTGACATTAAATTATATGTTCCTTTGATTGCTTATTGTTACTTTCATAATTTTCAACAATAAATGAAAGGATAAAAAATACAATGAACCACTAGCCTATGTTCGCGCGCGAGGCACGCATTCCTTTTCTAGTAGGGAGAAAAAAATCATGAGATTTCAGATTTCACTGAAAATTCAATGCAATTTGACACTGAATATTCATATTAGATTGGAAATTCAAATAAATTAACGAATTCTCGTCTTTATGAAAGCCTATGATTGGCTCTGCAAATGAGTAACAAAAAAACATCATTCGACTGCCACGAGTTGTCGCAGGACTTTTTAGTTCATAATCGCTCCCCGAAGCTGTTTAATTACATCGTAAAAGTTGCAATTGATTATATTTAAAGGTACTTCGAGGGAATGACGATGGTGGTTCGAGCAGTAAGGACAATCCGAGCGGGAGATGAAATTTGTGACAATTACGGTCCCATTTTTACTGTTGAACCGAAAGCCAATCGTCAGAGAAAATTGAGAATGGAGTACTGGTTTGACTGTGGGTGTGAAGCTTGCGCCGGTAATTGGCCACTGTTGCAAGATATGAATCCCAAGATTTTGAGGTAGGAATAAGAAAAAATGTATCCATATCATACTATTTAAAGTACCTCCATCCTTGCGATCAATTTGAAGATGATTGGAAACCAGAGATGGCTATGGTAACATAATAAAAGGGGTTTCAATTGTCCCTACATAGTAAGGATTACTATGTACATAGTAGTATTACATAGGATTAATCCTTATGTAATACAACATACACATACTATGTACATAGTAGTAGTAGTATCATAGTATACTACTATGTGCATAGAGATCCCAGTGCATAGTAATAGTAACTATGCACATAGTTACTATATACATAGTAACATAGTAATAGTAATAGTTACTATGTACATAACTATGTACACTAACTATGTACACTATGTGTATAACTATGTAGTTACTATGTACTATTACTATGTAACTATGTACATAGTAACAATGTGCATAGTACAGATTCATTGAATCTATGTAACTATGTGCCTAGTAATCCTTCCTATGTAGGGAATTGTGCTTTACTATGTTAACATAGTAACACTTACTATGTAAGATAGTAATGATTACTATGCCCATAGTACCTATTACTATTGGGGAGCTTACTATGCCCCATAGTAACCATTACGATATTCCATGGTAGCCATTACCATATCCGTGGTAATACTTCCAAAATTTTGATAACGTTTACTATGTGCGGATTCCGACATGGTAATCTTTACAATTTTATTTTCTCCGTGTTGAAAAAGGTTATTATCCAAGGACATACTCGACACCCTCAAAATTTCATTCGACGAGAAATGACGCATTCCCAAACTGAAAACACCGCAAAAAATATTTAAAAAATATTTTTTCGAAATGGAATTACGCATTCTCTTCCGCATGAAAAATTCTTCAATTTAATATTCCCCATTAATTATCCCCAGATTCAAATGTGAAACTGGACCATCCTGCGGCAATGTTCTCTCAGTGAACGTCGACATAAACGAATTCATGTTGAACTGTTCTAAATGTGGCAAGAGCACGAACATCATGAAAGGTTTGAAAGCCCTGCAGGATACAGATGCACTTTTCAAACTAGCCTCGAGGCAACTCGAAGATGGCGAGCATAATAAGGCCTTAAAGGCTTATTTGGATATTCTAAAATTGCTGGACGAGACTCTGGCGCTGCCCATTAAGGATTATCACCTCTGTCAACAAGGAGTGAGACTCTGCATGCTACCACTTGGCAATACTGCCTGGCAATCTGTGATATAACTCGCTCGATTCATGTTAAATGCAAACGAAAGAGAATGTACTCTGATTAAATTTAATGCCAATCATCGACACATGCTGTGAGAGGAAAATTAGCTTCCCCTTTTCGTCGATGCGAATTCTAGGCCCTCGGAAATCTTGCGGGCTATACAAAAGAAACAAACACTTCTTTTGTTAGAAAAAGACTTCAATTTAACAAGCATTTTACACGAAGATGTTAACATCGCGATTTCACGCAGTGTTAACTTCCCGATTTAACGCCGTGCCCATCCTTGAGGCAAGCTTAAACTTCAATTTCAACTTGACTAACCCTTTAGACAAAGATGTTAACATTTGAATAATTGGAAATATAGAATTGTAAATTGACTGTTGGGCAAATAATTGAAAAGACGGAATTGCAAATTAACTATTGGCCGAATATTCCTAAATTCCCTAAAAGGGATTCTCGAGTGGCCAAACAATCGTCAATCCTCCCAACTCCATTATTGATTGATAAAATCATTCGGAATGTGGATATTTAATTGGCGATTAATTTAGTCATTGAAAATTGATGAGTACTATTACCAGTTGACTTCTTCAATATTCAATTTGATTCGAAGTTTATGATTCTACCGGTCCGGTAGGTAATTATTATTCATTATATTTCTATCATTATTCATTCTGTACATCTTTATGAAGTTAGTTGAGAAAATCAAATTATGTCATTTAAATACGGGTGTCTTATGGCATTTGTTATGTTCATACTACTGTGAATATTCACAACTACGCAATAAACTCACATACCGAAAAAATCTTATGCAATTCTGGAAACGTCATCAGAGATCGATAATGTTCTAAAATTCGATTGCATGATTGTATAATTTTCAAATACCTATGGAACCTCCCATAAATTTGGATGATTTGCGCACCACACAAAGAATATCTGATTCGGTGGCTACAGTTAGTCAAAATTCCAATGAAATATCGTCAGGATGAAAATAGAAGCAATATTCCTGAAAACAACTCGGGGTAATAATTTAATTCCAACTCATATGATCTCAATGTGGTTTATTCATTAGATACAATCTAACATCTCAACCATTACATAAGCTATATAAATTCTCATTTTCTGTGGAGGGCATATCATTTTCACAGTGTAAAACGATCAGGAGGAAAAAAATGAGGAAAATCTCAGTGCGAAATGATATTCCGCGTGTGCCTAAATTGAACTCGTACTATGAATGTATGAGTTATTAGAAATGGCCTATAAATTGTCTATAAATGTTCATTCACTCCCTAACGACGCAAATCTCGCACGAACCACAACAGCCTTGAAAAATATTCGACGTATTATATTTACATGAAAGAAATACTGATTGCCAATGAAGAATTTCCTCTATATTGATAGGCATTCTATCTTTGAAATTCAGTTGAAATACATAGTGATACGCCAATCGTATGGACATCACGGACGAAAAAATTTAATAGAAAAACCTATCGAATTCGTTAGGAAATTCTATTGAATTTCTATTGAACTGTTCTATTAGTTTTCGGCCGATTCTATTGAAATGTTCAATAGAAAATATTCAGTAGAAAAAGTCAATAGAATTCCATTTTTCTATACAACTTATTCGATTGAGATACTTTCTATAGAATCTCCTCAGCTCAGTTTTTTCGTTTAATTTTCGTGATGAGAAGAAAAGAAAAATAGAATTCTGTTGATTTTTTCTATTAAATGTTTTCTACTGAACATGTCAATAGAACCAGCCAAAAACTAATAGACAGTTTGATAGAAACTCTATAGAATTTTCTAACGAATCGATAGGTTTTTCTATTAAATTTTTTCGTGCGTGATTGCATCAAGATAACCATAGATGGCTTTAATATGTATAATTAATAAGTATTTAACAACACCCGCAAGCAGGCTGAGTCAGAATCCGAACGAGGGGCCAATTCCACATGGAATGCAGATTGTTTGCCACATGCGCATATTTGATGTGCATTGTTGAAAATATTGGGCTGAAATTTCTGGTGCACTTCTTAGAAATTGTCATCAAGTGCACGGAGAGAAATATTCAATAAAAATTCCGGAGCGAAATGTGGTTGTAGGAAATTTTACGGAACTGTCGCGGAATTTTTCCAGAGCGTTCCGTAATTTTTATCTGAATCTCCTGTGAAAAATTACGATACCGTCACTTAAATTTTCTGAGTCGATTCCGTGATCGGTGAGCGAACTCTGAGTTCCGTAATTTTCACGGAACATTTCTCTCCGTGCGCTAAACACCCTCGGGGAGTTTCGAGTGAATTCGGCAACGCTAAAGCTTAAACAACACGGCGGCGAATCCCCGCGGAGGTGACCATAAAAGCCTTGGGATAAGAATTCCGCATAATGAGTCAGATCGCGTAATAATTCTATAAAAAGTTTAAGACCTGAACACAAACATTTGGCGATAAAGTGAGAATTTCTGGCCTCAAGAAATCGTTTATTTCGCCTCAAAAGATGAGAAAATGACTAAAAATACTAAAAGCTCCGAAGCTAAAGGGTCTGATCACTAGGAGAGCCTCTGATCCATCAGAGGCTCTCCTACTGAATGAATACAGAATATAAACAGGGGAGAACCTTCAGATATTGCTAAAATGCAACGAATTAAAAGAAAAGCAAAAACATTTTTTCCGTCTGTCCAAACTACTTTGTCTATTCCGGACTATTATCTAATTTTCAGAGGAAAATATTCTTCGATTCAGTATCATCTTCCTTTAGCCCGAAGCGCACCAACTTCTTGTCTGAAGTCTACCATGAACTGATAGAATATGCATTCTATGTTCTCAACTCAAGAAGTTATCGTTCTCATATTATGTCAATTTTTCTCTCACCGATGATGATTGCGTTAAAAGAGAGGAAAGTTCGCTGTTTCCGATTGAAATCCTCAAAGACTAATGAAAGTATCGTAATTTCCTAAGGAATTCACCAGGATTTTTACGTGAATTTCTTCACGCATATGTGGAATAGGCCTCATCGCTTTGGGACACAAATCAAACACCTAATCCATTGCACTCAATCGCTCGTTGTACGAACTCACTCTTCTCACCACTTTCCTCATTGAGAGGCACTGCCATAAACTCACTTTTCCTTGTTTTTCCATTCAATTCCTCAAAGATATCCAGCTTCGATCGTCCTTTAGTCTCAGGCAGAAGGAAAACTATAATTGTAAGCGTGAAACCCGTGAATAATGCAAGGATGAAGAAACTGACGTGCATACCAAATGCAACAGTCATGTACGGAAAAGCTAGTGTAGTTAAGAAATTGGAAATGAATTCAGTGGACAGAGAGATTGACAGCCCGAGGCTCACGATGTCTGCACTGAAAATTTCAGATGCAACGGTGGATGTCAGTGGGCCCAGTCCTGCGCAGAATGCCAGTGCGAAGATTGACATTGTGACAAGGGGCAGCCAGGAGACCGATGAGAGGTCGTAGTCGTGAGACTGAAGTATCAAAAATGTTCCAAAACCGAAGTGACTGATTATCATTCCCATGCAGGCTATTATCACCAGCTTTCTTCTTCCCAGATTTTCTATTGTCAGGGATGATGTCGACGAACCCACGATTTGGATAACGGCGATGATTATTGATGCTATATCAGGATCCACTGAGCATTTCGCCATTTCGAATATCGTTGTTGTGTAGGAGAACTGAAAAGTCAATGATGCAATTTCAAGATGAGTTCAAAAATGAAGCGAGATGACCGAAATTTCGCTATGAAAAGAGTCGCTGTTGGAAACTTTTGGCGGAAATTTACGGAGAATTTTGGTTCTAGGAATCTTTTCCCTGAGACCGAATTTCTCGGACAAAATTTCTCCGAAAAAAATTCCCCCGGACAAAATTCGACAGACAGAAGTTCTTTTGAAGTTGCGCTCGTATAACCGGCACGAGGAAAGGTAGTGGTGGGGATATCAGTTTAACTGTGTTGAGTCTTCAGCTGAATGTTGATTATTTTGTATTCTATTCGGGCCTAAATTCTTAATCATTCAGTCCAGATTCAACTTGTATACAGGGAGCCACGAGGCGAAGAGCAAATTACTTGCTAATATAAATTAAAATTACAGTATCTTTATCACGCCTCAAAATGTTAAAAGTGGTTGTTTTGGCTCTCGTCACTTCTTTTTTCATGGTATTTTTCGGTGTGAAGTCTTATTGTTTACTAAAGACTGTGACTTTCTTGCAAAACTGATGTGTGACAATTTTTTTATGTCTTTCCTCTGTCTATATATTCAAAAGGGAAATTGTGTCCGGGAAATTTTTTTTCGGGGAAATAGTGTCCAGGGAAATCATGTCCGGGAAATTTTGTCCGGGGAAAATATCTCCTACCACCAAAATTTTTTGCAAATGTTTTGTAATCGAAAAATCACTATTTCATGGAAAAATCAACATAAATGGAGAATTTTAGTGTAATTATTCCATGAAAATTAATAGAAGTCAGGAATATTCAAGAAAATACAGTCTTGATTTTTTTAATAGATCCCGAATATTCATGTTCTGATTAAAAATTTAAATAAACTGAAATTTATCGTAAATTTTTTGCAAATTTTTGTCAAAGGTAAGTATTACTGAAATTTCAATGAATTTTCTAATCGGAAATTCACTATTTGATGGAAAAACTAACGGAAACTGTGAATTTCAGTCTATTTATCCCATAAAAAATAACGGTGGCCAGCAAAATTTAGGTAAGTATATTCTTGAAGCTTCAAATGTTTTAAAATTCCGTGTAAATTGGTCTCGAATATTCATGTTATGATTGAAAATTCACATAAGTTGGAAAATTCTCCTCTGCTGCTGCTAACAAAATTGGGTTTCCAATCGATTTCCTATTAAATTTGCCATTTCATTATTTTTTTTCTCCCCTAAATTGAATTCAATGTTGCTCTCTGAAAATTAGTACCAAACGATCCATGAAATTTCCATGTTTTTCCAACAGTATTTATGGAAATTTCTCTATTTCGAAAACTGATGGCGAATGAAATGGAAAAACCAATGGAAACTGTAAATTTTAGTCTCATTATCCTATGGGCAATAATAGAAGCCATAAAAATTCAGAGAAGTATATTCTTGAATTTTCAAATATTTCGAAATTCTGCATAAATTAGTCCCGAATATTCATGTCCCGATTGAAAATTCAAATAAGTTGGGGAATTGTTATGTTCTTGCGGCTAAAAAAATTGTATCTCCATTGAATTTCAAATGAAATTTTTCATTTCATTATTTTTTTTCCCCCTAAATCAAATTCAATGTCGCTCGCCTGAAACTTCCACCAAACAATCCAAAAATTTCAATGTTTTTCCAAGAGTATTCACGGAAATTTCGGTATTTGAAAAGCTAAGTCAACTTATTTCTAATTAGTAAGAAGTGATTCAGAAAAATTAATGTGAATATAATTTACCAAAATAGCATATCCCGAGGTGTGTTGTCCAGCGAATAGAGTTACCGATATAATTAATGCCATGAACGTTCCTTTGTCTCTGAATAAATCTTTCAAGCCAGCGGATTTACCGAGATTGTGTGTGAGTTGCCTCTCGAGTTGCATTAATTCGTAATCTACTGTTGTTCTATCGTTGTTCCTCAGCCACATCAGTGAACTGCGCAATGATTAATTAAAGCAAAGTTAAAATATGATTTTTGTGATACCTGCCTGAAAAGTTCACCTCTCGAAACCGTTTAGTGCACGGAGAGAAATATTCAAGAAAAATTACGGAACATTTCACGTAATCCGCCAGCGAGAATCGTTTTCAGTGAATTTCTATAGGAATTTCTATAAGAGAATAAATCTGAAACGTTCAGTAAATTTTCGGGTCTGTCACCGAAAAAATACGAAAAAGTTACGTAATTTTTCTGGAAGTTGTAAAATCTAACAGAAACTTCAAGACTTATTATGCCTCAGAACATGAAAATTCTTGGATGTTTAAGAATTTTTACGAAAAGTTCCGGAAAAATTACGGAACGTGTTGTTAAAATCTCCCCCTCATGGCTAGCCGTGAGGCGTCGGACAGATGAATAATTTTTACGGAACAGATCGTAGAATTTACCCGACGATTGACACTTTTTATTGAATTTTACTTCGCTCCCAGATTACGTTTCGAAACGTAATTTTTACGTCTTTTTTCTGGTAATTTTTATTGAATATTTCTCTCGGTGTATGCGTAAAGTTCAGAGGTCGTGCGCAAAGTGAATTTCGAGTGCGTAAAGCATGGCTTTACGCACGAGAATTTACTCGCAAATTCTCGTGAATTCCCTTCACTTTTAACCAGCTACAAAATTACCTAGTAGCTCTGTCGACATGTCCCCGCCTCAGAAGATGCGTCGGCGACTCAGGAAGAAAAATAAACCCTATAATGAACGCCACCGGCACAACCAGTCCACACAACGCAAAAGCGTGGTAAGATAATTTGGCGCCAAGAATGAACGACGCAAGCGTCCCCAGATTGAAGCCAAAAGAGAGGAAGCTTCCCAGTTGGCCTCTGATGGAGTCCTCAGCAATCTCGCACACATAAACCGGAATCATGGAGAATGTTATTCCGCAAACAAATCCAGCTAGGCCACGTGCCACCAAGAGGTAGTAGAAGTTCTGGGCAAAGTATATGAGCAGCCAGCTGCTGGCAGCGGAAATGGCTATTGCCCATGCCATTATTCTATTACCGATCTTCTTCACTGCTACTGCGTAGAACAGCAGAGCAATTAGGGACGTCAGACCTGTCACTGAACCCAGCCAAGAAATTTCATTCTCAGTTATCGGTTGGGTACCAACTGGAGTCGTTTCTTTCACCAGTTGGGGGATTATTGGCGCTGTCCAGGCTGATAGCATGCCACCTGCTATGCCTGATAGATTGGCTGGAAGGAATAATAAGGTGTTAAGCAATTAGAAGTTATTTGAGACTGAAGTCTCTACGATTACGTACAACAGATATTTTTCATGTCTTGGGGCCGGTTCCGCCAAACCCAGTTAACAAAATTCTGAGTTGAGTATGGAAATATATAAAAATAATCTGCCGATCAATTTAGCAGCGAAGTGGTAAAACGGTACAAGTCGATTTTGACTATTGACCAGTTTTCAATGAATATTTCGGAATCTATGGGAGATGGCAAAATTTTTGTTATAACGTTTTTTGTAGAGCCGATTGAGAGCTACAACTAATGTAATTAAGAAAATTACATTTACTCCAGACATGAATTTAATTTGACGATTTATTTGACGAACAGGGCTTGGTGCAACCGATTTCAAGTCAAATAAATAAACTAAGAAGAATAAACTAATGTCTAGAGCAAATTTATTCCACAGGAAGAAAATCATCGGATATTCGATTAAATGAATATATAATACAATGCTATCTCATTGTCAATTCGCGACGTTTCGCTTTTAATTAAAGCTTCCTCAGGCTCTGAATTGACAATAAGATAGCATTGTATATTCATTTCATCCAATATCCTATGATTTCCTTCCTACAAATTTGATTAATATGGATATGAACAATATCATCAATTTATTTCACAGTTCGACAGTTTTAAGAATGCATCGCAGAGTGCTTTCATTTATTCATTCGGTCTGGTGAATATTGACTAAATACTTCATAATTAGTGGTATTATTGGTAAATAGTAATAACACATCGCTTCACCACTTTTTATTGGGAAATACCCTCGATGAACACTCAATCAAAATTGACCGACAGATTATTGTTATTTATTTCGATAACATCGTATTGGGATATGGGTAAAAGTGGATAAATAAATGTAGTAACGCAATGAATACTTTTAACTTGAACTCTTTATTATTGGCACGAGGAAGGCACGACTGTACTAGAGGACCGTTGTCCAGAGACTAAATTCTAACTATTTGAAAAACCTTTACTGAGGGAAAAGCAAGACAAAGTTTATGACTCCAGAGGACAGAGTTTCCTTTGAATTTCTACATGTGGTAAGGATTGCAACGCTCTCGAGTTCGGAGCACAACGGATCATAAATTAGTCCTTTTCTGGGGACTTTCCCCAACCGTCATAAACCTTGTCGAGTGATTTTTGAAGAAAAACAGAAAAGCTGTGTTCAAATATTCCAACACATCGGAAATGGGATAATTTAAATAACCAAATCGGTAAATAAGTAAAATAACTTTATTAATTAGACTTTACTTACTTTACTTACACATCCGCTCTTTACCAATTCCTCTGAGGAACTGAACAAAATAACAAAGGGATACAACACTCTGGGCTTTTGGTGACGTGGACATAGGAGGTCCCATTCATTCAACTCTGTTTAAACCCAAAAACCAAAAACATAAACATCATAGCCCGCGCTACTCAGAATTTTCGTCCATAAAAATGTTCTTCATACCCGCGTGTAAAAATAGAGAGAAAAATATAAGATTAATGTTTGCCTCGTATTATTTCAACTAGAAATTCAAGAGATAATTAACTGAGGATTTTCTCATCTGGACTTGGTGCAACCGGGCCATAATAAAATAAATAGATAAATAAATGAAGGCTCATCAGGGGTTTTCGCTAAAAAAACGTGGTATATCGATCTATCATCGCAATTTGCCCATAATACCCCTAATTATGAAGTATTTACCCCATATTTACGACCAAATGGCAAAATAAAAGCACCCGACGACGAATTTCTAAAATTGCCTGACTGAAGTAAAATTTACTACTGAGATAAATTTATTCCGGGGATTTATTTTGTTATTTGTATTATATTATAAAAATAGTAGAAGATGTCGACTGACGTAGGGAAATGTTAGTCAACGGTTCTGAGGAATGAAATTGAAATAAAAAGTATCTCATTCGCGCTTACAAAAAAAATGAGAAAATGAGAAATTCAAGTCTAGGATTGATGAGAAAATTTGACACTTACCTATGATAGCCGCGGCGGTTTGCCGCAGTCTCCTCCTCCCCGATGAACATGTACCATTATCGCTCATCTCCTTCGACTTGTCCATCACAACGTAGGAAGAGGACTGATACGAGTGGAACTCTTCCACGTCCACTGCACTCCGTTTTTCTCGCGCATTGACAACATTAGGGGACGGAGAAACTGGTTTTCGATTTTTCCTTCATTGTTACTACTGGTTCGATAAATCCTGATGGTAATTCTGAGATTTAATTATGAATGCATCATCCCAAGGTCATATGAGGGAGGCGCATTGACAGACAAGTTTACGAGGATTGCATTGATGGAGGTGGATCATCGGAAATACGATAAATTTAATTTTAAAAGACGGAAAAACGTGTTCACGTGCTTTCTTATTGTTGTTTGAGTGCGCGTACATGAGAGCGTAATGTGATATAGGATCGTCGACGACGCAATGCTATCGCGTCACTCCAGTCCGTAAACTAGAGGGACTAGACTACACTGAGAGAAAAACGACAAAGTTCTCGAACAAGGGGCGCACACGGGGTGTGTGTAAAATTTCACTTTAGGCACAAGTGATAAAAAATACTATTTCCTCCAGGAACTGTTCTTACAGAAAATTTTTTTACATGTGCACTTATCATGAAGATCCCGCAGAAAACGTTCCTCACGAGGGGCTATTCACAGGCGTAATCGTGGTGTCACTCGCTCATGTAACAATTGTAATCCCAGTGAAATCAATGTAATCATTGTAATCACATGATTACCATATTTGTAATCAAGTGGTAATCATTTGTAATCACTGTAATCATTTGTAATCAGTGTAATCCTTCGTAGTTGCTCCTAGTGAGACCGCGAATTTTGTTTTTGAATTTTTGCGCGCGTCATTTCTACCAACGGTATGTCTCAGAGATCCCTGGATCAATTTTTCTTGGAATCCCAGATGTTTATGGTTCAGAACCTTGCATAGCCAATGCGTTTTGCACAGAGCATTTGTCCGTAGAAAATTGATTCAACAGAGTTAAAATTTCTTCTTATTCTGGAGAACCAACGACTGAATTATCTCTGAATTATCTGCTGGTAAGTTTCATTCTCCATCAATGGTAGATATTCAGTAAATTTATTTTGCTAATGGCACTTATAAATGCCCAAATTTTTAGATGGAGTGATGGAGACTGCATTCCTCTGTTCTAACCCCCGCCCCTCCTTCCTCATTCCTTTGCAGGTTCTAATGATTAATTATTCCATCAATTCATATTTAATAAGAGGCCATTTTTTGTGATTTCAATGATTACAGATGTTTGGTAATCACAGAAGGTAATCGACGAAATCATTTGTAATCATGTAATCACATTCTGCGCTCTTGGTAATCACGGTTATCACATAGGCAATGGTAATCAGTGTAATCAGTCCCGTAATCCTGGGGAATCGATTACGTTTTGTATTCGCGGTGTCACCCGATTCGCCTGTGAATAGCCCCTCGGTTCCTTATAGGCAACTTTACCTGTCAAAGAACTATTTATAGAATAATTCTTCTCTCCGGAAATTTCCGTAAGAACAGTCCACACATTGTTAATACGTCCTCGTTAACAGTGGGATCAAAAAAATCGCGAGGGAATCCCATCCGCGTATCTCTATCACTCAAGAACCAAAATGGACGTTCCCACTGACCGACGTTTTCCTCACTTTCGGCTAGTCCGAGGAAACATCGGCTCTCGCGGCGCCTAGAGGAGGAAAAATACAGAACAACTGGTTGTCGTATTTACAATTCCATGATAAGTTAGTAATTATTCATTGACGGCACGAAAGGTATCGTAATGCTAGTTATACAAGCTCTCGTCGACGTTTTCGAAGAAATTACTGGTGTGAAATCGTCAGCAAAGTAATTATTCCTTGATTAGTAAGGCCTTTGAGGGAAATCCTCTTCATTTGCGATTATCAATGATTGAGTGGGATCATTATTATCAATCAATCGTATGTAAATACGACAGTTTTCCTCTTTTCTACGCGCGTGCCGTTTTTCCCCTAAAGGTCCGTCATTTTCATTTCGCCTCCCGACATGAAAAATGGATTCTTCTGTATCGATTACTTATGGAAATCTATTCGGACCATCCTGACTCAATTTTGGATTTTTTGTAGCTGCTTTATGATGGAATTGGAAAACGTATGGAAATTGTTTTTACATAAATTCTTCGGAATTTAATTCTTTTAATGGAGAAGAAAAGAAAACAACGCTGTGAAAAAAATTAGAAAATTTATGCCGAGGAATTTCTGCAGAAAAAATCTCAATATAGTAAGGTGACGTCTATTGACCCCGCAAGTACGACGACCATATCGCGCGGTGTTTGCTCATGGACCGGCGGCCTCCCGTCCACTCGAATTCGCAGTTCAATATGCGACAATTTCTAGACTGATGACAAAAAAATTGTCATCTAAAATTTAATGATCATCTTGAGCTTTCACCAATAAGTTGTTAAATTACGGTATTCCTTTATCCAGATTTTCCGCAAAAAGTCGTTCCGTAATTTTCCCCCAACGATTGAGAAATTTCACGGAACGAAATGTAGAAGTAACTCACCAGTTTCATAAAAATTGTTGAAGGTTCGAGAATTTTTGATTTTGGAGGCATAATAAGTCGGCAAGTTTCTGTAAGATTTTACTTTTTCGGGAAAAATTACGTGACAATTTCGTACTTTGTTCGGGGGTGAACCTCAGATTTCTTCTCTTCTATTTCAATAAAAATTGCCGGAAAACGATTCTCCATTGCGGATTACGTGAATTGTTCCGTAATTTTTACTGAATATTTCTCTCCGTGCAAACGGTGGCCAAGATTGGCGATTATCGGAAATTTGTTAATATCAAATCAGTAATTCATTGAGTCGAAGTTTCGTTTGCGCCGTACGACAAAGGAATGTATAGAGTATATTCGCAAAAATTTCAGAATTTGTTATGAAACTTAGCTCGATAAACGAGAGGTTTGAATATGCATCTGACATCGAATTCAGTTCCGTATTGTTGATGTATTGAAGAAAAATATTAAAAATAACTTCAAAAAAAAATCGAGTCGTATTGTGTTGATAATTTTATTTATTTCATGGGGAAATTTTTAGAATTTCGATATCTACAATAGTCCGAAAGATAATGAATTCTTATTAATCAAGCTCTCGGGTCCGTATATGGCATGAACACCGAAAAAAGTTAATAGAAAAACCTATCGAATTCGTTAGAAAATTCTATTAAATTTCTATTAGTTTTTGGCTGATTCTATTGACAATTTCAATAGAAAATACTCAATAGAAAAAGTCAACAGAATTCGATTTTTCTGTATAACTTATTCTTTTCATATATTTTCTATAGAATTTGCTCGACTCAAATTTTCTAAGTTTTTTTCATTCTATTTTTCTTCTCTTCTTATCAAGAAAATCAGACGAAAAAACTTGGAAAATTTGAGCCGAGGAAGTTCTATAGAAAATATCTCAATAGAATAAGTTATACAGAAAAATTGAATTCTATTGACTTCTAATAGAACAGTTCAATAGAAATTCAATAGAATTTTCTAACGAATTCGATAGGTTTTTCTTTAAATTTTTTCGTCCGTGGGGTTAAATAAAAATCATCATTACTACATCTGTCACTGATTTTCAAAGACATGCTCCTGAAAATCAAAATTTTTTTCTCTGCGAAGTAAGATTAGTTTGAGAAAATATTTTTTCATCACGCCGTGACGAAAAGTGAACTTTTCGGCACGCACCGCGTGCCTAAAAGTCCAATTTCCGCCACATTGTGATGAAAAATATTGTTCGTAACTCGTGAAAAACTGTTTTTTAGCTCGTGGGATTATATCACTCGCCTTCGGCTCGTGATATGAACCTCCCACTCGCCAAAAAACACTTTTTTGCACTCGTTACGAAATATACTATTTTCTCTCAGTGTAGATTTTCCTAGCGAAATCGTTGGGATTTTTTATTGAATTCTTAATACACGTTGATTGGACCTTCCCGCTCTTCATGGCGATGCGGGCTTGATGGTTCAATATTATACCGTAGATTGATTATGGCAGCACATGCAGTAGCGGCAACACGCAACAGCCGGAACAGTTCCTTGCCTTTTTGGAGCAGAAGATGTAAACAAACGTTAAAATAGTGGTGTTCATTCAAAATTTATCCACAAATTGGAATCAGGAGTATTCAGATGGAATTGTGTACACGTGGAATTAATTTCAGCGAGTGAATTGAACTGTGAATCCAAGATTTGGAGTTGTTAGAGGTTAACCTGTAACCCTGTGTTTATGTTTTGAGTCTAAAAAATGGGTGCACCGACGAGCAATGCTATTGACAACCTCACACAAGCATTGAAATCCAATATTATACCGAATCAAGAGTACTTGCTCCAGGGTTCGGTGCTGGACAGTGCCGTGGAGATTCTGCTCCAACGTCTCCGAGGACTTTGTGATAATGTCGACAGTGGACCTGAGGGATTTCATGATCACGAAATGTGCTTCAGTATCAGAAAGTAAATTACCCATTTTTTCAGTAGTAGGGGTGAGTGGGGTAAAACGGCCCCTTTTGTATAGATCTGAAAACGAATAATTGGTGCAAAAAAATTTTTTTTCATTGTTCGTTTGCCCGAAAACGCTTAAAATGCTAAAAACAGTGCAGGGCCTCCAATTTTTGAGCTACAAAAGATTTTTTTTTTCAAAATTTTCGGAAAAATGTGTGGAACAACAATTACGAGCCAGTTTTTTTGCAATTCAACTCCTCCACAGCTGATTTCGGTTTTTTTCATATAAAAAAATTCACTATTTGTGTAAAAAAATACAAAAAAAGCAAATTTAGCCACGTAAGAGGCGAATTAAAAAAAAAACTAGCTCGTAATTGTTATTCCACATATTTTTCAAAAATTAAAAAAAAAAAATCCTTTGTAGCTCAAAAATTGGAGGCCCTGGACTGTTTTTGGCAATTTAAGCGTTTTCGGGCAAACGAACTATAAAAAAAATTTTTTTTGCACTAATTATTCGTTTTGAGATCTATATTTATAATCGATCTTCAACGTATGAAAAGTCTCACTTCAAGAACCCACGTCTTTTAAAATTCATAGTAGTCTCCCCTTAATAAGAAAACTCATCCTTATGTTGATATTCATCCATTGCACTCCACTTATTCGTTCAATTCTTCACACGCTTCATGATTATTTCTCTCCAGAGCACCCCCTCCAGAGCAACCCCTGCTCCTTCGTGTCCGAAGAGCCCTCGACTGCACAGACATGCCCTGGCAACTGAGGTACATTGGACAGCCCGAATTGGGAGACAAATCTCGTCCCACGATAGTCCGCAGTAGCATTGACATCGGTACCAGCAACACTGTAGTCGATTTCCTCACAGAACTGGGATGCAGACTGGACTTTGAGTACATCCTGCGAGGCTACATGTTTCGTAAGGGAAGAATGAAGATCACAGTGTCCAAGATCTTCAAAATGGGACAGGGAAAGCTGCCGGAGCAGGTGGAGGCCATTTCCCAGAGTTACTTGGTGGAACTGAGTGTTCTCGCTCCCAGCGGACAGGACGCCATCGCTGAGGACATGAGAATTTTTGCTGAACAGCTCAAGCCTCTTGTGCAGTTGGAGAAAATCGATTATAAGAGACTTGTACATTAAATTTACAGTAAATTTTTTCTATTTATCCGGGATTTAGAGATACTGAAATGGAAATGATTGTATATTAATTATTAAAAAAGCAATAATTGTATGTATCCATGAGTTGTATGAATATTTGTGCATTTTTATCTATTTTTGGAAGTGGCCATCAAGATAAATAAATTTTCAGAATTGAAATGAGGAAAAATAATGAATTTATGGTAGAAGAAATAAAAGAAACATTACGTTTCAACATAATATACTTCTTTATCATTTTTTTTCATCCTCATTTCAAATTCAGTAGCGAAGTGGTCAAAGAGTTTCAGTCGATTTTGGCTGTTGGCCAGTTTTCAATGAATATTTCGAAATCTAAGGGAGATAGCAAAATTTTTCTCACAGCATTTTTAGTAGCACTCGATTCACTCTACAAAAAAGGTTATTATGAAAATTTGGCTATCTCCCTTCGGAGATATTCAAATTCGGAAATATTTCTGAAAAACTCAACTAAAGACTAAATTGACTTGAACCGTTTGATCACTTTGCTACTGAATTTATATAAATAACTAAAATTCTTTTGTAATAATTTAGGGGAGGGTGGGGTAAAACGGACACTAGACTTTTTTTTAATTATTCATAACTCAGAAACAAATTGATCAATTGAGCTCAGTTTAGGCTCGTCACAAAGGGAAAGAATTGTTCTTTGTTTTGAAAAAGAAATTATTAAATTTTATCAACATTTCAACCCTTCATTGACATTTAAAAAAAAGTCAAAAGTGTCCGTTTTACCCCAACCTCCCCTATACATGTTCACCAGTCGTTTGAGACTTTAGTTGTTGCTGCTGATTTAATTCCACTCTGTTCTGATGAATTCAAACTTCCCGCTGCAATTGCCAAAAGAATACTACGAGGTTGCCACATCTTCTCGGCGTCGTATCGACAATTGTCGCCTTTGAGGTTCGTCCAAGTAGTGGGAGGAGCTGCCATTTTGCATTCTTGCCTCACATTGTCTCACGTTGAGCGCATTTGTTGCGATTGTTGCTGCCTTTCCTCAAAAAAAAATTGGGAATTACCGTTCATAAAATCGTAAGGTACGTAAAGAAGTGAAGAATTCTTCCATTCCTCGCATCGAATTGCATAATTATCGAGAAAAACCCGAAAGAAAAAGGGAAAAATCACAGATGTAATTTTGGAGCACACATTATTATTCAATTTCACTTTCGAAAAAAAAATCCCCAAAAATAGAAACACTTGCAGTGCGTGGTGAATCAATATCTCTCCCATTTCAATGTGAGTTAATCGAAGAGATCGTTATCAGACCCTCGGGAGTGCATGAAATTCTTAGATAAGTTCTCATCCCCTTGCCCTCATAATGGCGGAATAGTCTCTCACTTTCTCCATAACAATCAAAACTGTTGGAAGAAAAAATTAATTAGTAGAATGTTGGACGAATTTCCAGAAAAGCGACATTATCAATAAATTTTTAGAGTAAATTCGGTTAAAGCGGAGGTGAATATTGAAATTTCGAATTTCACTGAAAATTCGATGGAATTCCAAATTTTTTAGCAACAGAGCATTAATTCTCCCCAACTTCAGATCAACAACAGATTCCGTTTCAAATTTCTATTGACAAGGCCATTTCTGCGGTAGAGGAGGGTGGGGTAAAATAGACACTTTAGACTTTTTTAAAATTATTCACAACTCAAAAACAAATTTATCAATTGAGCTAAGTTTAAGCTCATTACAAAGATAAAGAGTTGTTCTTTGTATTGAAGAAAAATTATTAAATTTCATCAGTATTTCAACCCCTCATTAACATTTGAAAAAAAATCAAAAGTGTCCGTTTTACCCCAACCTCCCCTATAAAATATCTCATGGAAATTATTTGATGGAATAAAATCTGGAGAGAAATCACTGCTAAACAACATTTAAATTTCATGAGAGTTCAAAGTTCAAAATCATTCCCAATGTCCTCAATTTTTCAATCAAAACATGAATATTCAGTACCAAATTGTAAAACATTTAAAATTAATTAAAAACTCAAGTAAATTTCTAGTCTGGACTATCCATTTTTTTCACTAGATTTTTCTAGGCCAAAAACTACGTTATAATCAACATTTCGACAACGTCATTAATCCTAGATTTTTCTTGTAAAAATTGATGTCGAATTAATGTCGGGAGAATAAACTCCCGTCTTCAGTGAAATAAATCTTCAATTTAATGTATTCAGTTGAATTTTCGTGATTCCTATTCATTTTCATAAAAGAATCGAACTAAAATTAACAGCATCTACTGCTGTTCCATCAAATTATAAATCTTCAGTGACGGAATCCATTGAATTCTCATTGGCACTGTTACTTCACAGAAATTCCCGAAAAGTCTACTATAAATTTCACCTAAAATTTCCCGACAGTGAATAGAGTATCCCTTGAACAATAACTGACTGTACAAAATTTGATTTCATTGAAGATTGAAGAATGTCGCGTTACCGCGAGTGGGACCTCTCCTGCAAGGTTTATGTGGGCGATTTGGGGAGCAGTGCCAGTAAACACGAGATTGAGAATGTGTTCAGTAAATATGGACCTCTGAGGAATGTTTGGGTGGCCAGAAACCCACCGGGTTTCGCATTTGTCGAGTTTGAAGACCCCAGAGATGCCGAGGATGCCGTCAGAGGGCTGCACGGAACGTGAGTATTTATTCATTCTAGTTACAAAACATAATAATTCATTCAATTTAACCCTCCATAGAATTAAGGTAGCACAGAGACGATTTGATTCTTAAAGATTGAAATTTGAAATAAATTTCTTATAGAAATAGATATCAATAGAAATATTCTAGTTGAAATTGTTGAATTCTAGTTGAATTTGTGCCAATCAACACCAAAATTGCAATAATAGTCTCTGAAATTCTTGACTTATTTCATATCCACTATTTCACTACAGAATTGATGGAATTATCTCGGTGATGATCGATATCATGAGAAATAATTAAGAGTCATTTTTTATTATAAATTTCTTCAGCTACAAAAACGGTTTCTTTAAAATACTCTGAAAAACAACACTCATTCCAATGATCAAAAAAGCTTCTAGGTTCAATCCAAACTTTTTCAAAATTTCACTCTCAATTAAAATGATTAAATTACATAATAATGTTTTCTTTGTTTTGTTCAATTTACAGACGTTGCTGTGGAACACGTGTGAGAGTTGAGATGTCCTCTGGTCGCAGTCGTCGAGGTGGTGGACGTCGTGGAGGTCCTAGGTACTCCAGGTGAAAGCCCTGTCTATCAATTTTTTTATCATTGATAACAACTTCACACTTGTCTTCTCATTCTTCCATTCCACTCGACATAGAACAGTACTTAATACTTACAGTTACTTACAGTTACTTTAATTCGAACTATATGAAACGTCGCAAGCACATTCGTACTATTTTATGATGAGATTACTAACATTTACATTGTTGATTTATCTTTATTACCTGAAATCAATGCTCGAGCAGAGTAAACACTGTTCTTGAGACTCCCTAAAAGATGAAATTGAATTAAATAATCAGAATTTCATGTTCGGAATATTCGCTTTTATCTCAAGGTGGAGTGGCCTCGAACGAATTTATTCTTGGAAATTATTCAGCTTTCGATCGCTCAAGGAAATGTTGTATTCAAGAGACGTCGATTACATTCCACTTTATCAATAGAAAGATAAGAATAGTTTGAACTCACTGGATATTTCTCATTCTTCAAGAGATTTATTTTCAGAAAAGGGAGCGAATCTCTTTTCTCTGAGTGAATAAGTAATTAATAGAAAAATTATGAAACTGTTTGAGTAAATATAACAAATGGAATTGTTTCCTAGAGAATTTTCTCAGCGAAAGAAAAAATCTCTTGCCATTTATTCTTAAAATTTTTAATTCCTTAAATAATCACCCGATCAATGAAGATGTTACGCTCGACTGGATGATTTCATCACTCGATTATTGAATCATTATCATCATTTTTTCAACTCTTTCAAGAAAACAGGAAGTCGAAGAATGAATTATTATCATTCATTATCGTCTCTTCCTTCATCTCCTCATGGTTGCAATTGACCTGATAATTGATTCTCCTGTTTTCAAATTTGTTCAGGTCTCGGTCGCGTAGCCCACGAAGAAAATCAATTGGTCGATATCCCAGGTAAGAACCCATTTATTTCAATTTTCTACTTCCACAAAAACTCTAACATTAATTGGGTTTCATGACATTTTTCCATTAATAAAAATATTAAAACTTTATATTTTTAATAATAAATTAGGAATTTTTTATTTAATGAATTTCCAATAATTTTTTATTCGGTAAATTTGTTTTTAACTCATAAGAATTTTATTTGTATCGGCCACAACAACAATGTTATGTAAAACACGAAATATAATACAATTTTTAACAAACCGACAATTAACATTTTTCCTGTTTTTTCATTATTTTTTCAGATCCTTATCAAAGAGTCCAAAGAGATCTCCAGTGAACCGCTACTCCAGGTAATGTTGTGTTTCAATTGATCAATTAGAATATCATTTTCGTCACTTTGGCCTCGATATTTCAGCATCATTTAGTTGAGATGTCCTGTCAGCTTGTGAAAATGAGTATGTACTGTTTCCAATAATTCACAATGTGTATTCAAGTAGGATTGATGCAATTTTTATGTACACTTTTATTCTGGGAACGAGTGAAGTCGACGTTATTTTCATAGAAGGGATTCATTTTACTTTATAATAATGGGAGTTATCAATGTACATCACCAAGCAATAATGATGCTTTATGCACTTCTGAGTAATGATTTATGGAACCAGGGCACTGGAAATGGCATTCATGCATTAGTTATATCATTATCAGAATTCATTATTTGATTTATTATTTTATATCAATGAATTTATTTCAGTTGACATTGTCCTCGTGCTTGGAGGAGCACAATAATTGAGAATAAGAATGATTGAGACGCGAATAATAGTTTCATGAAATGTGAGCTTTGGAGTTTGTCATTTGCATTTAAGTGGGCAGTCTAGGAAGATCAATAGTCATGACATTGTCTAAATAATAAAATATACCATTTATTAATCTACGGTTGTGAACGATTATACATTATTATGACTCAGGAACTTCCGTAAAATCGTTCACGAGAGATGTGATTTTTTAAATTATGAAAATGTCTCGAAAATGAGTGATTTTAAGAGAAAATGTGAGTTTCTTCTCATCCTGAAATTTTCTCTCAAAACCACCGATTAACGAGATACAAATATTAATAACAATAGGAAATAGGGAATGCGAAGCAAAATTAACATTCGTAGATCTTCAATAACTCCTGAGGTAATAACATAAATTCAATAAATTTCTCATCATTTTGGAGATTCCGAAATTTTTTCAAAAATGATTTGAAATGCTCGAATCTGTATTCAGTAAATTTGGAGTTTTTGAAGATCGAGTAGATTCAGTAATCAAATGGTAAAAACACGATATGAATCGATTTCTCTTCGATGTCATGACACTTTTATTCTCCCACTACTAAATAACGGCATACTTTAATACGGAAACAGCATTTTCTTGGCAAAATTACCTATTACACAGAATTGAATTCCCCCATTTTTTGACAGTACTATATTTTTAAATTTACCATCTCAATTATACACGGTACGGTGTAAACCTGTAAATATTTAATGCTTTGTGTGTAATTCAACATATTTATAACGACATCCTCATAACTTAAACTTTGTTGCAATACAACCAAAATTAGCCAATTTCGTTTTTCATGAGTTCCACGTGTGCAAATTATGTCTGCTGAATTGCACACAACAAATTGAAAATTCACACATTGGAATTATACAATGTGAATTTCAGATTGTACCATGTGTAGTCGATTTTTAATTCTGGAAATCTAGGGGAAATATCTATTCCGTCCATTAAAGTGTTAAATGTAGAGAAAAATAATGAAAAATGCTGATAAATATTGACATTTAAGATGATATGCATTTGAGCCATCAATAATGATGATTTACATCTAATTTCGGTAAAAGTATTGGGCTGGTACATTTCAATTTAACAGAATTCAATACGTATGGGGGCCTTCAAATATTACATCGCACATAGATGGAAAATTGGTTTATTTGAATTAAATAAATATTATTTGAATTAAATAGATCATCTATGAAATTTAATTGAATGATTTATTTTTTGATTCTAATAGAGTTTATCCAATTCAAATAATCCATTTTTCACAAAAAAAAAACACTTCGTGGACAATTGAGCAAGAGGGGAGGGGGTGGCGTAGGTTGTGATGGCTCACCAAATTTTTTGTTCATTTTTAATCAAGGAAATCGTAAATGCAATTTTGTTCTCGTGTCCCCTTTTCACGAAGAAAGCAGAGGTTCATCAGTTCTTCAAAATATCCCAAAAATTCACAAAGAGGAATTTCAGGATGTTGTGATGGTAACAATTTGATAAGTTACGAAATGTTCAAAGAGCATTAGATAAAGATTGAATTGTTCCCCTAACATTTTTTTTCTTTTTCTAATTCTTACTTTTAAAACTCGATTTCATAAAAAACTAAAAAAATCAACATAAGGGGAGGGGGGTTGTGAATTTTATGATGTAATGTTTGAATGACCCCTATAGGATGTAATGTAAATGTGGAAACGACAAGTTGGGGTAAAGTGGAAGAGAGCGTCTACAATCCAAATCTGTGGTTGTTGCCCGTATAATTTTAAATTGTTGCGTTTTTTGGGATTCTATAACAGCAATGTCCCGCTAAGGCTGGTAGGGCTCAAATTTTAATGTCACACCATGCTCGTGAATTTATCGAACAAGAACTATATTTAATTCAAGGCCCGTGTGTATTATCTTTCGAACGGGATCTTGGTTATTTTATGATAATAATTTATGAATTTATTTCTGCAATAAGGTACATGGTACCGAGTTTACAGGGGAGTTCACATGATAGCGTTTATTTGCATTTCATTGAAATTTGTAGTATACATTATAAGATGGGTTGGCTGGTAAATTGAAAAGAATTGAATTGAAAAAAAAAAATATATTTCATTGAATTTGGAAATTGAAATGAAGAAGAATTGGCCAACTGGACTGAAATTAATCGTTAAATTCAGTGGCTCTAAGTTGAAAAGATTTGGACACATAGCAAAACAGGTTTCTGATGGAGCTGTATCGGTCGTCGTTGAGGTAAGCGGAGATGCTAGAAATCGTGATGTGCTCAGGGTTGTGTAGATATACTGGCAAATAGTGGATTCTGGCAGGTGAGGGATCTTGATTATTTTTTTTTTAGTTCGATAATTTCAAATGTTCTCAAATTGCCGTTCAGTTTCACATAGACCTGGAGTCTTCAAAAATTAGGATTGCACCATCAAAAGCGTTGTCAAAGAGCGTTTTTGAATAATATTGGGAAATAAACCAAATACTAAGGAAATTGCAAATTCATAATTTACAATATTGAACGGTTGTTAGTTCGTCATTCGTCACATCTACTGGGTCGTCCCTGTTAATATATGAGATGTGCCAAAGAGTTATAAATTCACAATTGGTGACCCAGTCCCGATACCCTCCTTCAATGAGTAGTGGACGCTGTTGTATACTTTACCCGCAATTTCTGTAAAAACTCAAACAATGAAGGGATTATAGTCTATGTAACAAGTCATTCCATCAATTAAATGCTGTGTCTGTGAAGGAAGCCCCGACTAAATCCAAGTAAGAAAAAAAAACAAAAATTATGAAGTAATTTTGCGGATAGTGGCCACGAGTATGATAACATTTGATAGTTATATTGGTAAACCTGACGTTTGCAGATTCTACCAGTGTCAACTCCTAGCTCTGCTCGTCTCCCCGCCACTACTACTACTACTACTGCTACTACTACTACAGCCACCGTGAACAAAAAAAAAATTATGTCCATAAATATCGAAAAAGTCTAGCAATCAAAAAAAAAATGAAAAAAAAATAGCCTGCCTGCCCACTAACCTCCCAACCAACTTCATCAGTCACCAACCAGAATCACCGAATAGGAGCCAACTCGTCCGTCACATTGACAGTTCGTTAGTGCTCGTCGTCAGTGAGCTCAGTTAGTCTTGACCATAAACTAGAGTTATAAATGCCACTGATATCACTGATAACTACGTCGGTGCCTACCTACAATCTTCTAGGCCACCTAGGAGTTCATCGTACCCGTCTGACAAATCAGCCTCAGCGCGATTATCGATCAAATGATCTTCGATAAAATGATCAACGCGTCCGTCTCCCAACTTCTACTGCTACTACTCGTCTCAACCATCACAGTTTATATTAGCTGAACAATATGCGACTGCCACTCTTCTCTTCCATCGAGCAATGCCAATATGATCACCTACACAACCATCCCACCACCCAACCACCACCACCAACCACCACATGTTCACAGTTGTCTGGTATTTTCACCGATTTTCAAAAATTCTTATTATTTTATTATTCGTATTTATTTAATTTTCTTTTGTTTTGGGATTTTACTGAGCTTATGGGGAACTGTTTGAGGTAGTATGGACGCTCCAGGCGTTTGGTTAGAGTTGATATTGTTTTAAACAATGGAGTTCGTAAATTATCGGATCAATGTTGGAATGAAGGGGTCAAACATAATGAGGAGAATCTGAAATTTTATTTCTGGTGTACAAAGCGCATTCACCTGGGGGAATTATTCCTCGATTTTTGACTCTTCGGTATTAAAACAATGAGAACGATTATAATTGAATTAAAATGTTCTTTTCAATGAAAAAAACTCGCAAAGGGAAAATTCAAATTTTTTGTTAATACAATAAACGCAGTATCTAGGAGAACGAAATGTCGAAAATATTTTTTTCTAGATTAGAAAAGTCACAAGAAACGACTTTTTTCATTTTTTACATAAAAATTTCTCATTCTAAAGTCAATTTTCTGTTTAACAAAATGTGAAAAATCGAATTTTTGCATTATTTTAACTAAAAGAATTTATTGATGCGCTGATTGAATCGAAATTAAATTCCATTATGCTCAATAATTGCTGAATTATTCCAAGATTTTCCATATTCTGATATTTAAAAAAATGAAAATGACCATCATTATAAGAATTTTTTTTATCGAGAAAAATTAACCGACGGGAAATTTATTTGTAAACAATGGCCATACTATCTCAATTATATTTTATTTCGACGTTTTATTTCTGGCAAGAGTTTACTTTAGTTCCAACAATACTCATCAGCTCAGATAACTTCTACCAGTTAAACATTGAATTATTATTTTGAAAGAATACAGTATTTGAGAATTTAATTTTTCCCTCATCTCTTAATTTCACAATTTTATTCATTTGATTTGAAAAAAAAGTGATTCAGACCCCCTAGTTGTTGGTTGGTTTCGATTCTCTGGTGAGATATTATCGACGAATAATAACTTCCAACTGATTTTTTACTATTACCCTTTAGGAACAAATAGGAACTAGTCCTAAATCGATTACCACACTGTCTTGTCTGATCTATCTCTACCTGAATTGTCAATCGTGTTTCTTCTTCCTCATTTCATCATTAAAAATTCAGGAAAGGAATGAGAAATGTTAGTTTGGAGGAAGGAAACACGATCGGGCAGTTCAACAACAATGTCAACATTCAGTACGAATATCGGAAATAATAAAGCTCATTCTCTTTGTTAAATTTTAGGTCACGTTCCCGTAGCCCACGCAGGAGGTCCCTGACCCGCAGCCGGAGCCGAGATCGTCGCTCACGCTCCGACTCACGGGACAGACGGTACAGATATTAAAAAAAAAACAATTCCACTCGAGTTTTTGATCATTTAGACGGTATGATGATGATATTTTATTTTTTAATGGTCTGAATGAAGGGAATTTAGTTGGATAGAATGAGAGATCGAGTCCTGAAGAGAATGGGATGATTTGGAAGATATCAATCTTCTCACAATGTCAAGACTGAAAGTTAACTTTAGGAAAAAAATGATTAATTAATTAATTAATTAATTTTTGTTGATAATTTTTACTTTAGAATGACCAGATTAGGGAAACCATTCATTTGAATTAAATAACAGTCTTTATTTGAAGTTTTCTTATTTATTTCAATGGAAAATTTTCAATTATATGAAAGGAGTATGATGATGTTTTATTTTTTAATGATTTGAATGAAGAGAATCGAAGAATTTGGCAGATATCAATCCTCTCACAATGTCAGGACTGAATGATAATTTTAGGAACAAAATAATTAATTAATCAATTAATTACTTTTTGTTGATAATTTTTATTTTAGAATGTCCAGATTTAGAAAAATGATGCATTTGTATCAAACAACAATCTTTATTTAAAATTTTTCCATTCGTCTCAATTAGTCTGTTTTGATGCCATTCATTGATTCGAAATAAATCTTCCATTAGGATTAAATAAAAGACTAGCACATGTTAATAAATTTGATCGAGTTAACTAAAACAATGATTTTCTGTCTAACTCGTAAAGTCTTTATTGAATCGAGGAAACATTAAGAGAATGAAAACTGAAATTAAAAGTGACATTTAAGTTTAATGAAAGCTAATTCATAGTCTTTTCATCACAACCAATTTTAATAAATATTTGAAAATGGCAATTTATCAAATATTTGATCATTTTTTAAAATGATTTGAACAAACGAAACAGCCAGAAACAAAGTACTTAAATGTCCTCTAATTTTAGTTTTTTTTTAAAGTCAAATATCTTAAATTTTCTTTGAAGTTTATTCGATTTTTATTTCTTCACTTTAATTGAAAAAAAAAAGCTATACAGTGAGACATAAAATCGTCCACAGTTGCCATTGTGACTCACCTCGTACTTATCTCACGTTATCCCCTCAACTTTCACAGCCAACAATAAGAAAGTTTTGCACAAAACCCCATTTTTCACAATTTAAACATGAAAAAACAAATAACATATTTCGTTCTATCCTCAATTTTATTTTTATCTCTTCATTTGTGAAGGATTATCAGATCTAAATTAGTCTCAGCATTAATTAATTAATTTAACTTTCAGTTAAGTGCTGCATCATACGAGAATCGCAATGGGACTTAACATGAAGAAACGAAAAAGGATTAAACAACACAATTACGTTTGACTATGTATGCACTAATTGCACATACATACTCCTGACAATTAGCGATTAAACTAATTAATTTAAGTAGTTTTTACACGTGAACATTGTCCTGATTTTCGGAAGAAGGTATACGCCGGTTGTTCGTCGAGCCACGAAATAATCGATGAGATAGAACAGATACATGTTACCCATTTCTTTTTAAATTAGATTAAAACTCTAGATTTGTAAGAATAAGTGTGAATAATATCCCCGTGGAATTCCGCTCTATTTGAAAGATGAATGAGTCGATGCAAAAATCGAATAAACTCTTCAGAGCTTGTTCCATTAATAGGTGACAATGACGCATCGAGGACAAGATTGAGTGATGAGATACAATAATGAGAGAAATAACGATGTTCTGTGCTGTAATTCTTATTTTATACTGTAATAATCATCATGAGATTTCAAATAAATTCAGTATATATCTTGATGAGTGCGTTATTTTTTCATGGACACGCACGAAAAAATTTAATAGAAAAAGTCAACAGAATTCGATTGTTCTATATAACTTATTCTTTTCATCTATTTTCTATAGAATTTTCTCGACTCAAATTTTCCAATTTTTTTTCATTCTATTTTTCTTTTCTTCTCATCAAGAAAATCAAACGAAAAAACTTGGAAAATTTGAACCGAGGAAATTCTATAGAAAATATCTCAATAGAATAAGTTATATAGAAAAAGTGCATTGTATTGACTTATCTACTGAATATTTCTATTGAACATTTCAATGGAATCGACCAAAAACTAATAAAACAGTTCAATAGAAATTCAATAGAATTTTCTAACGAATTCGATAGGTTTTTCTATTAAATTTTTTCGTCAGTGGAGATAATTCTATATTTGGCAATTGGGTAAGAATTAAGTGGTCATATTTCACAACTTCACTGTCTCCACAATTTTTGGGAGGGCCTATTTATACCAATAACAAATGATTTGAGGGGAATGTGTCACGGGATTTTTTGTAACTGAAAACATTTTTCATTAGGAAATTTCATACTTGAGATGTTAAAAATACATTTGTTACATTTTATCCTTTTACTGGCCTTTAATTTTTCTTTATGGCCACTCCAGGATCAACAATCAATGAGGTTTTCTCCTGTGATGAGTTGATATTGACATTCTATATTCGGTATTCCATACCAAATGGGACAACGTGTGACCCTCACCCTTTTGGAAATCAATCCCGTTTTTTTCTGCAATTGGGGGCTAGAAAAACTATTTCTCAATTTTTAAATTCCCGATCTATCGGGTAGTTATCGTAATCACCCTGAAAATGAATCATTAGTTTTTTGTGATTTCTCTACGTTTCTCGGTGTCTAAAACACTTCTGAACACTTCTAAACAACATGTCTGTGTGTGTGTGTATGTAGGCCTGTATGTTACGGAATTTTCGTTAACGATTTCTCCCGAATGAATCGCGCGATCAAGATGATGGATGCCGCAATCGAAAGGTCTTCATGTAACTTAGACCTGATTAGATTTTTGAGTGATTCGCTCCAGTGATTCTTCCAAAATTTCCTGGAGAAAAGTTTGAAAATGGCTAAGATAAGTATTTTTCCTGTATAAATGACGTGATTGGGATTGTCAACATCAGGATATCACTAGAGTCAATCACTCCAGTGATTTCTCCAGGATTTGCTGAAACTCCAGTGGTTTTTCCAAAATTTCCTGGAGAATAGTTTGAAAATCGCTCAGACAAGGGTTTCTCATGAATAAATAAACAGAGTGTTGAGAGTTGAAAAGGATTCTTTTAGTCAAAATGGGAGGAATAATAATATCGGGAAGTTGTTGATGCGACCCGTCCGACGGGTCAAACCCACATGAATATATCCGCTACCAATCCACCCGCAATGGGAGCGAGCGCAGCGAGGGACCAACAGCCCAGTCCACTAGTTTCTAATTTTTTCGACAGCCCATTTCAGAGATATGTTTTTTCTTTGTTTTTTCGTTTGGTTCAATAACTTGGATTCTATACCATCTACAAGAAGATTTTCGGTAATTTTGTTGATAAATCAGTAGCGAAGTGGTCAAACGGTTTAAGTCGACTTAGCTCTTAGCTGAGTCTTCGAAGAATATCTGAAAATTTAAGGGAGATAGCGAAATTCGTACATATCTTTTTTGAAGCTCTTAATGCGCTCTACCGAAAAGGTCATTACAAAAATTTTGCTATCTGCCTTAGATTGCGAGATATTCATTGAAAACTAATGAGTAGTCATAATTGACATAAACCGTTTGACCACTTCGCTACTGAAATTATTTGAGGAGAATGTGCCAAGAGATTATTTCGAACGAAAAAAAATCTGTGATGGAATTTTATACCTGAGATGTTAAAAATCTATTCATTACATTTTCTCATTTCACTCAATCCACAATTTTCGCTAGAAGGAAAGTCCTTCAATGTTTTCCCACGTTTTCTCGCATTTCACAACTTCACTGCTGACCTATAATCTCTGAATATAGTGATTTCTAATTAACTTTAAGAATAAACGGTGATTGATGAGTCATTCGACGTCGGCAATATTCAATTGAAATTTATTACTTAAACTTTGCAGATATTGAAACGTTAAACAGCGTAAAGCAATGAATTGACTAAACAGTCGCAAATGAAAAAAAACGTTGTTAGTCATTAATTTTTTCATGTTTCTCCCTCTAAAAGGAAAAAAAAGAAATTCGATTAGCATTTTCTGAAGAAAAACTCCAAACAAAATCCCGCATGAAAAAAAAATCGTAACGAAAATTAATCTCAATGAGAACAATTTGCCGAGAAAGGATTGACGGGGAAAAAAATTTTCGAGAATTTTTCAACGCGGAAAAAACTCCGGCCACCAAATAGAATAACTCGTATAGAAAAATTGACTTCTATTGACTTTTCCAGAATATTTTGTATTGAACATTCCAATAGAATCGGCCGAAAACTCAAAAAGTTCAATAAGAAGAAAATTTATTAGAAATCCGATAGAATTGTTTAGCGAATTCGCTAGGTTTTTTGAATTAAATTGTTTCATGTGTGAAAAACGAAGAAAAAGATATTTCGGCATTTTATTCCCCTTCAGATTCATTAAAAAAAATTGGAAGAAAAATCGAAAAATAGGAAATGGCAAGGGGTGACCATCATGGCGCCTAGATATCAGTGCGCAGTTGCCAGTTTCAATCGCAACGAGTAGAAGGGGGCAGGAGGAGGTAAAACTGGTGCGAGGGAACGCTCTAGCATTGGCCAGCATTGGCCACCATTTTGTCGCATTTCTACGTGTGCAGTGTACAGAGATAGACGTTATTCGCAAGTGTTCACTGTCACTTCCATTCGTTGAATAACAAGTTTATTTGTTGTTTGATACAGGTAAGCTTACAGTATTCCCCCGTTCTAAATTTTTTTGAAGGAAAAACTTTTATTTGTTCCAATTTTTGAATGCATGGGCGCTATTTGTTGGGGTGAACGACTTTATCATTAAAATAGTGACTAGCGTGGGCTAGTGTATAGTGTAATCGTTGAATTATTCACGCCCTTTTGGTCTGTTCTCCTCGCTTCACTCCATTTTCCTGATTTTTTTAGAAATTTTTGAATGAAAAATTGGAGCAAATGAATGGAGTTTTTCATTCTTCAAATGAATAGAACGTGCCGATTCTTGGTGAGGGTGCTCTTCGTGAATGAATTTTGAATGAAGGTTTGTTATTTTATTCAGGCACCGAGTCACAATGTCACGCTATCGTGAGTGGGATTTGTCCTGCAAAGTTTACGTCGGTAATCTTGGAAGTAGTGCGAGTAAACACGAGATTGAGAATGCATTCAGTCAGTATGGGCCACTGAGGAATGTTTGGGTTGCCAGGAATCCACCGGGTTTCGCATTCGTGGAGTTTGAGGATCCCAGGGATGCCGAGGACGCTGTTAGAGGACTCCATGGAAAGTGAGTGGAAATTTTGATAGTTTGGAGAACAGGATTTTATGATTGTTAGTTAAATTAGGGGAGGGTGGGGTAAAACGGACACTTTAGACTTTTGTTTAATTATTCATACCTCAGAAACAAATTGATCAATTGAGCTCACCTTAGGCTCGTCACGAAGGGAAAGAATTGTTCTTTGTATTCACAAAAAAAATCTAATTTTATGAACATTTCGAGCCCGCATTAGCATTTTTAAAAAAGTCAACAGTGTCCGTTTTACCCCAACCTATTGGAGATCCTGAATAATTTTGGAGAAAACTTCGTTGAGGCTCGTACGAGTCAATTTTATGGAAAACCTAGCGCGTTTTCTAGTGAATTTCCATCAATTTTTTAGACATTTTTGAAAATTTATATTTTTTAAGGAAGATATTTCACAGAAAAAAATCAATAGGCTGGATTAATCTATTGATTTTTCTAAGCAACTTATTCTATTCAGATATTTTTCATAGAAACATTTCTAACTCTGAGAATGTTTATCCAAAATTGGAGGCACTCAAAACATTTTTACATTGCCCTCATTTTTTATTTTTATTCTTGGAGTTTGCCACTAGATGAATTATAAACTTGAAAATAAATTCACTCCACGGAAAGTGGGGGAGAATTTTGATAGTTGGGAGAACAGGATTCTATGATCGTTGGTTGAGTTATTAGAAATGATGAATAGTTTGAAGAATATTTCATTGAAGATTCAAGGAAACCTCGTATGAACAAATTTTATAGAAAAACCTAGCGCATTTTCGAGAAGATTTTGTGAATTTTAAATTAAAATTTTTAATAGGAGATATTTCATTTAAAAAATCTGTAGACTTGTCGTTCTATATAAGTTATTTTAGTGAGATATTTTCTATAGAGAAATTCTTTTCTCTTTGAGAATGCAAAATTGCAAGTACTTACCATTTTCAATTTTCTTGTCATTGAAGTCAATAGATTTTGAGATTGCCCGTTGTTTTTATTTTTCTTGCATTTTTCCACCAGATGAGTTATCACTTGAAAATAAATCCGCTGTATGGAAAGTGAAAGGGAATTTTGATCGTTGGGAGAACAGAATTCTATGATAATTGGTTGAATCACTGAAGATAATGGAGAATTTCAAAAATGTTTCATTGAAGAATGGAGACCCGTATCGACAAATTTCATAAAAAAACTTAGCGCATTTTCTAGAAGATTTTAGTGCAATGTTCTCAATATTTTCGATAATTTTTACTAGAAATTTTTAATAGATATTTCACAGAAAAAGTTAATAGATTGGTCTTTCTATGCAAATTATTCTACTGAAATATTTTCTACGAAAAAATTCCTTTCTCTTTGAGAATCTAACATTGTAGGAAAACCTTTGACATATTTTCTATAGAGAAATCCCCTTCTCTTAGAGAATGTTCATAAAAAATAACAAGGACTCAAAACACTTTAATGTTCGACCACTGAAGTCAATATATTCTCATATTGCCCTCTGTTTTTATTCTTATTCTGGGAGTCTTTCACTAAGTGAATTATCAACTTGACAAAAAAATTCCGTAAGAATCCATGAATTTATTCATGGGTTCTTACAGAATTTAGAACAAATTTGTTTATTTCATCCCATCAAAAGTACTGCGATTAATCCCTCTAAATACTCCCAAATGTTGGTTTCATATGTTCCCCTATCAGTCTATCAAATTATAAAATTATCCCCAAAACGGACAAATATCCTAGAAAAATTCAACAAATGAAAACTTAGATAATGTGACTCCCCCTAGAAAAGAATCAAATTTCCTCAACTACCGAAAATTTATGGACAATTCCTTATTTTAAAAACAGAATAATGACCAGAAGTGGCTAACTACACTCATCATAATTTAACCCTGTTACCTTGTTACTATCATCAATACCCTCATTAAGTCTCCATGGAAGAAGAAAATCCATTTTACTCCTTCGTTAAGACTTGAAGATTTTATCGATCCTAACGCGATAATACACATCAAATAGCCTTTGAAGTGCTTCCTCGAGTGATTACAGCACTTGACCCGTTATCTTCGATGGATAAACCTCTTTATAAATCGTTCTGCTCCATTTTCCCGCCGTCTTCACAAAAGAAAGGTCTCACTTCAGCAGAATCATTGACTGAGAGGAAAAGAATAAATCTGAAATTCGTGAAAAGAGCTGTACATCTCTCCCTGCATTTAATCTCTTTACAGTCACGTACCAAAAAGTTTTATAAAGAAACGTAGAGAATTCGATAAGTAATTCTATTGGATTTTTATCGAAAATTTTGTCAGTATCTAGCTGATTCTATTGAAGAATTAAACTCCAAAATTAAGAGTCAAAATAAAGAGTCAAAAATCATTGTACAATGTCCGGAAACTAAGGGTCAAATGGGACTTAAATGAAAGCGCTGATGTTCGAGTACAAAAGTAGAAAGGCATTTCGCTGGAGAAAAAATAGCCAAAGTACTTGCCTTAAGCCTCTTCGACATCCAATCTAGGAATAGCTTATGACAAGAATGCACTGATAGAATGATTCATTTATTCCAAACGAGATTCGTTAACTATTAACGAATGGTAGAGTTGAATATGACCAAATGAATATTCGTTAATAGTTGACGAATGATTCACTTGAATGCCGAAAGTCAAGTCAAACAAGGCTCCTCAAATATACATTCGCTAACTATTAACGAATGAACATTTGGTTGGACCGAATAGACCTTAACCTCCAACCAAAACCCATTCGTTAACAATAACAAATCCGTTCTATCAGTGTGGACTTGATCCTAGAAATCTGTTTTGTTTTCGCTCGGAAGGACAACTTCACATTTTTCAATTTCAATAATTCAACATAGAAGAAACAAAACCACAAGATCATAATAATCAGATTCCTTTTCGCCCATTCAGACGTTGCTGTGGTACGCGAGTGAGAGTGGAAATGTCCTCAGGTCGTAGTCGTCGCGGCGGTGGTGGACGTCGTCCCGGTCCCAGATACTCAAGGTCAGTAAAACTTAGAAATTCCTTCGGTACTTGAAATTTCCAGCCAGCCAAGCGGCCGAATAAAACAGTTCGTAACTTCACCCAAGTAGGTAATATCGAGATGTTCGTGATTATATTTAATTCAGAATGCACGGCTAGATGATTTAGCACTGATCTTAATGGGCATTCTTTATACGACCGACCGAGCTGGAATAAAACTCATGTAGATTGTAGTTACTAACAGGATCTTAATTGAGTTGTGAAGTGGTGAAACAGAAAGATGCAGAGCGATATACCCTTTGCCTGGGACAACAACCCTGAACTTATGAATGTCAAAAATCGATTGCTGCAATAATTTCGACGAAGACGAATTATTGATTTTCATTGAAAATTGGAATGCGAATATTTTTCTTTTCTTTTGCTTTTCACGGGGACATTTGGACTTTTACATCTTCATTTTTAGTGGAATTCTCGTATGTTTTATTATGTTCAGCAATTTTCTATATCGCGTGTGTGCGGAGTCAAAATGTCAAATCAATATATTTTTCATTTTTCTGAAAATAGGAGCCAATAAGTTTTGTAAACACGTCCTGAGGGAGTAGTTAATCTCCACGTTTCAGACGATTCTGAGTCATCTGAGCCCAACTTTCCGAGATTTTTTTTTGGCTCAAAAAAAAATTGGCAAAAAATCGTATAAACACTTCCTGAGAGAATAGTAAATCTCCACGGTTCAGACGTCTTCGAGTCATCTGAGCCTCACTTTCAGACGCAATTTTTTCAGTTGAATCAAACTAAATTTGCAGATTCTTCGAAACTTTGAGCCAGAAAGTCACATTGAAGCCTCCTAAGAGAATAGCAAAAGTTTCGAAACATCTCTGAATAGTTTAACAATGACCCAAGTTTATTAAACTTCACTCTACTAATTTTGAGTTTTGAATTAGTAAACAGTCGCGTGTATCTCATTTTCCCCTAAGCCATCTAAACTTCAAAATGAAGATGTAATGAGTATCTTCCACCTCATAAAGTTCATAACTACTTTTGGGGAATTGACTTCAATCCACAAATGATGTCTCCATTAGGTACATTTTCAGTATACATTTTCTAAAAGCTGAGAAGAATGATAAAATCAACGTAACTCTCAACTTCTCTTGCAAAAATCGGTGAATCCAAGAAGATTATAGAAATTATTCCAACATCTCCACCGAAAATTCTCTATTCCCCTCAAATTCGAAGATGTTTTCTCGAAAATTGATCTATTCTATTGTGACAGAACTACTCTAAAGTGGAATAAAGTAAACTGTTTCATCATTTCACAGCTGAATCCACCATCAAAGGAATGAATTGTCCATCACAACTTTCAGCAAATAATTTTTCTTCTGCAGCTGTCTCTGTACTTACTCTCCATATTTCTTTAAAAAATTTATAGGTCCAGGTCTCGAAGTCCCCGTAGGAGATCAGTGGGTCGATACTCCAGGTAAGCGCATTAATAATCGTTGCCCCCAGGGAACTATTGACTAAGCTGATGAACATAGGCCTCGTAATACCCTTGTTTATCCTCTTTCGCTTCCCTAGGTCAACATCGAGAAGTCCCAGGCGCTCGCCTCGCGACCGCTACTCCAGGTAATTGAAATTCATTGATTAAATTGTTGGGTAGAATTTTTCAAGGATTTCCAGGTGAACAGAGTCCCCTTGATGTAGGAGTGTACGTATAACGCTTCATTAAAAATGTATTATTGCACGCTGAAAACACTAATGTACGCAATAACTTGATTAATATGGAGTGTACAGCTGTCATCGGTATATAAAGAATGTCTCGTGTTAATTAAATTGATTAAGCAATGGGCGGTTGAGGATAAGAGAACTAATGTCTTTATTTCAAAGGACAGTGGTTTGAGTTTATCGTATTAGATGGAAGACGAAAGTAGTGTGTGCACTATAATTATTATTCATTATTTTTATTTTTATTTTTGAGCAAAAATGCAGCAGGGAAGTGGTTAAACGAGATTATGAGATTTCTCTCGAGTTAGGCTTTGGTTTTTTCTGATGATTTGGCCCATCGGAATTTCAGCCAATAGAAGTGCACCTTTCGACGTCACGTGGTACAACCAACATGGCTTCCAACTGATTCCCTCCACTTAAATCTTTATCGATAGGAACACGGAATCCCGTGATGTCGGTAATTTTTGGTAATAATAACGGTTGGTGTTAAGCAATAAATAAAAAGGTTTTCGTCGAATTTTAACCTGAAAAAATTGGTGCATTGAAGAGCAGTGACTCTATGAAATCAGCGATGCGCCGAGCTAACAATTGAGATCACTCAGGGTTGTTTACGAGTGATATGATTTTTTGGAAAATTTTATATATTGAAAATGAGTTGTTAATGTGGGTTAAGGTATATCCTAAGATAATACCACCCAAAAATTAGTCCCTATGGATTTCCAGAAAAAATTCTAAGTGACTTAATTTATTGCGGTCTCATAAGGGCTACTTAAATTCACTTGAGTATTTAAAAACTGACGATTCGAATTCGTCTCACAATGCCATTCTCTTGCTATTCTCTTGGCCGAAATTTGGATGGAAAAATTCTTTCCCGAGTGCCACTCGAGTTTGACAATTAATGTGATATTTTCGTCAAGGTTCCCTGTACACAAACGAATCTATGGGGAAGTAGCCGATAATTTTGAAGCTCTTGTGGTATTAAATATGAATATCTCTCCGGTTTTATCACTTCACTACTGCAATCATATAGTTTCTTTAAGTTGTCCATTTTTTCATATTGTGAATTACATGATTTTGTTCGCAATTAAAATTGAAGTGAAAGAAATCAGGACAATTATTAGAATTAAGTCGACCAGACTACAATATTATTTCTATTCACGCCCGTCAAATTTTCATAGAAAAATCCAGCGAATTCCTTAGAAAATTCTGTTAATTTTCAGCCGATTCTGTTGAAGAATTCCGAAATTTTACTGTGTGTTCTTTTTTTTTATAGAAAAAGTCCAATAGAAACTATTTTATAGAATGGATCAGTAGAATTTCATCTTTCTATACAAGTTTCTCTATTAAGACATTTATCAAAAAAAATCCCGATATAAATTTTTCAAGTTTTTTCAATTTTACTTTCTTTTTTTGTTAAAAATTTGTTATTGTTGAGTTTGACTATAAATTCAGTAATCAAATGGCAACAGAAGTCTTGTTCATGTCATGTTAAATATTCAATTATCTTCATAATCAGAAATTTCAAAAATAAATCTCTTCACATTTTTTTCTGAAACTATTCATTATGAAGACAAGAGGACAATTAACAAGAATATCGAATCAGTGATTATCCCTTCGCTATTGAATCACCTCCAATTTAGGTTGTTCACTTTTATTTTCTTATTTTTTTGTTAAAAAAAATCAAACCAAAAAACTTGAAAGAAAAATCCAGTTCTATTGACTTTTCACAGAATATTTTTCCTTCAAAATTTCTATTGAAAATAAACCCGCGGACTGCGAGATTTTTCTCTCGAAATCCGCCAGAATTTTCGCCCGAATTCGCTAGATTTCTCCATGAAATTTTTTCGCACGTGTCTCATAATGCATTAGAGTGGGCAGTCTAGGATAACTCATTAAAAATGATCACCAAATTGAGAGTGACAATTCTAAAAAGCCAAATTATTTATCAAATAGCATAAAAGAAAAATATCATAATATCAATTGCGAAATAGTGGCAAGGAGTATGATAACGTATGTTAGTTATATTGGTAAACCTGACGTTTGCAGATTCTACCAGTGTCAGCTCCTAGCTCTGCTCGTCTCCCCGCCACTACTACTACTACTGCTACTACTACTACTACTACTACAGCCACCGTGAACAAAAAAAAATATAGATCCATAAATATCGAAAAAAAAAGTCTTGCAATCAAAACAGAAAAAAATAGCCTGCCTGCCCACTAACCTCCCAACCAAGTTCACCATCAGTCACCAACCAGAATCACCACTAGGAGATCCGCCAAGTCGTCCGTCACATTGACAGCCCGTTGCTGTCCGTCGGTACCGTCAGTTGCCCTTCAAATATCTACTCCGGTCTATCAGCAATCTTCTAGGCCCATCTAGGAGTTCATCGTTACCCATCGATATATCAGCCTCAACGCGAAATATGAAATTAAAAAAAAAATCATAGCAAAAAAAAAGTAAAATAAACAAATCTTCGATAGTAATACAATCACGACGCGCTATCGTCTCCCAACTTCTACTACTGCTACTACCTCGTCAACCATCACAGTTTAACTTAGCTGAACCAATATGCGACCGCCACTTCTCTTCGATCGAGCAAAGCCAAAATGAATCACCTACACAACCATCCCACCACCCAACCAAGTACCACCACCACCAACCACCACCACATGTTCACAGTTGTCTGGTATTTTCATCGATTTTCAAATGTTTTTTATTATTATTTCTTAGTTTTTTCTTTGGTATTTATTGTTTATTCGGTGTGTTGTGCTCCTCTTCGCTGATGATTTTATCCATAAACTTCTCCCACTGAGTCGGAGAATAAAGAAAATGAAGTTGATATTTATTGCTGGAAATCATGAGCGAAAGGAACTAACGCAGACTTTATTATTAATACCTAATATCTGCATTCTTATATGAATGGACTTTCTATGATTTCATGAAGATGTTGAGTTTTACTATGGATTCAGTAGTCAAGTGGCAGCAGAAGGCTTTTTCATGTTTTGTTAAATATTCTGTCTTCGTCGTAAGCAGTTTTTTCTGGAGCTATTCACTATGAGGATCGGATATTTAATAAAATGTCGAGAAAGGGCTTGTGCATTTGCTACTAAATCAATTGAAATTTAGTTTTTCAACTGTTAATTTATTCTGAGTTTTGTTCACTTCCTATTTTCATTGATTTATTGGTGATATCTCAATACGTATTTATTGTCATTACTATTTCTAATAGTTATTCTATTTACCCCAGATTACTAGGACTTTAGGATTTAGTGAATTTTGTTATAATTCAATCTGTCTTCGTGATGATTTCTTACATATTTGTGGCATTCACGTGAGCCTTGTTCTGTTGTGTCTTGTTTGCAGTCACAGTCTGTGGTATTATCTCATTTACCAGACTTTTTGATTTTTAATCTTTCAATGAAGTCAAGTTGTCTGTAATAAGATGCAACAGAAGAGTGAAAATTAATAATAACCTTTTTAGTTTCTTTGGAGACGGTGTGATACATATTTTTGAAATTTTTAGGTCTCGTTCTCGCAGTCCACGCAGAAGATCCCTGACTCGCAGCCGCAGCCGAGACCGTCGCTCTCGCTCTGACTCACGTGATAGACGGTACAGATAATTCTCAAAAAAAATCACCAAAAAAAGAATGCCCTCGAAATTCCTTAGCCGAATTAACGATTAATCGAACGATTCAATTAACTCTGTATTTCTTAAAAATTAATTGCAGTTAAGTGACAACAAAGAAGATGATCTCGATGAATTCTAGGAGGAGTTAACATCTGATTAATATTGATTTATTTGTATATAAACTGCTGTCACCTTGTTCAAAAAAAAGAGAGAAAAGAACAAAATTGATTGAATTCAAGAAGAGATAATGAGAATGATGTTCGCTTCAGACTAGCTTTTGTCATTAACACGCGATAAATTTGTAAATTAGTCGTTCCACTCGTGTGAGTTTAATCGTGCATCACTTGACTTCAGTTAACAGCTTATCTGTGGTATTGAGAGCGAACAAATTCGATGACATATATGAATCATTTTACATGAGCTTAATACGATTGATGAGATAAATGTAATTTGTACCGGTGAGAGATTCATTGATCATTTGATTCAGCAATGTTCAACCAATTGATGATTAATTTTGGTTGAAGTTTGAGGAGAATTCAGGAGGCAAATCACGTTGAGTTACATGAAACACTATTGTTTTACGTTCTATTAATTATTTTGTACTTTTTATCGATTTAAGATTGGAAATAAATCTGTAACGCATATGTTTGGAGTTTTGATGTTGTATTTATTTGGTGATTACATTTTTATTTCAATGGATTCAGCTGGTCACATCCCTGATATTTTCTTTAAGTTAGTCAAATTTCCCTCAATTCGTTCTATCGGTTGTAAACATAATATTCCATAAAAAAATTTGATGTGTGTACCAGAGAATTCCATTTAGATGAATATAAAGGCTGATTTTTGAGGTAAAAATACAAGACAAGGAAGTCGTTTTACTATGCAGAAGGATTGGCAATGACAATGTCAAGACAATGTTAGTGAGAAAAACTGTGAGAACGCTTATCTTAGCATTTTGAGGGCTGAAGTGTCTGAGGCCCTTCGGTTCGGGCCGATTTGGTGACTTTGTCACTAAATTTGGTGTTTTTAGATAATCAGCTAGTGACGAAAATTTTAGATTCTCACCAGTGACAAATCTGGTCACATTAAGAAAGACTTATTCAGTTGAAAAATAACTTCAAATTTTTTTTTTGTGAGGAATATGAAGATTGGGAAAATTAAATCTGCGACTTTCGACCTCTTGTGACGCCTTATAAACCCGAGTCGGCAACACTGATCATCGTGTCCAATTCGAAATGATGAATTTTTACGCTTTGAGAATAATTTTACTCCGTAAAATATCAATAATGTCTGCTGATGAGACAGAAATGACAATTATTGTCAATAAAGAAGGGATTGGGTGTGAATCATTCAATGTCCGAGGCACTTGCATTGCAGATTGAAGAGATCTCCAAAGAGAATGAATCAATCCAAGTTATTCCAAAAGACAGTCGTTGTCAAGGGGGTTCCGTGTCATCTTCAAGATGATGGACAATTGAATTATGATTCGAAGGGGGACACGTAACAATATTTTGGTTTAATTGGATAGATGACATCAAGGCGGCCATTCTGAAGGAGGAATCGTCGAAATCGATCCAGTTTTTATTGAGACTTATGATCTCAAATTAAGACTTAACAATCTCAGGTTCAGATTGAATTCCGAAAGTCTTAATTTAATCCTCGATCACTCGCGCCCGGCCGCCAGCCTTCATCCGTTGCACAGTTAGCGCAGCGTCGCTGGGTTAAACCGAGCGCGCTGTTGCCATCTTGGCGCTTACCACTATGAGCGCATTTTAAGTGCGGATGTGAATGTAGCAACACTGTCGCTCGAGGGCTCGACAGGGACTCACTCGCACCGGGCGATGCGGCGCCGCTTTTCTGTCCGTTCGACGTTTCTTTTCTTTTTTTACATTAAAGAAGGGAATTTATATAGCGTTCCACATTTTTGTGGGGTCATAGGAAATGAGTGGATGGGATTTGGGTGAGGTAGGAGGGGAACCGAGATTATTCTCAATATGAATAACCAGAAAATTTTTACTGAAAAAAATGGACAGTCCAGACTATCTGCTAGAATCTGCGCAAAAAACAAATGGAGTTTTAACGAGAATGCTCTAGAGTTTTAATCGAATCACCATAGAATTTCTAGAGAATTCAATTTTTTCACACATGATATTGAATTTATTTGAAGAGTCTATCATAATTTCACCGCCAGTTGACGAACAAAATGACTTTTGAGAAAAAAAATCAACAGTCGTCTCCCGGAAATAATCACACAGAAAAATCTAAACGTAATTTACGATTTGGTAAATATAATTTACGCTTAACACCAATGTGATGTCTAGTGGCTTAAAAAAGGCGGTTTTTATGGTCAAAATATAAACATAAATTATGCCCAAACAAAGCGTACTTCACGCTTAAGAAATCGTAAATTACGATCGCAATAGAAACGTATTTTACGATTTAATTATGCATAATTTACGAGAAAAAAAATATCGTATTTAACGCTTGAAATAATTTTTTTCGTCTTGATCGTTAATCGCAATTAAGTACACATTAAATATGGAAAAATCATCGTAATGTACGAATACGAAACCGCAAATTACGTTTATGTACCCGTAATTTGCGACAATTATGAGCATAAACGTAAAATCGTAAATTATGCTTCAGAATGCGTAAAAACGGCATCTTAGATGTAATTTACATTTAGATTTTTTGGCGTGATGGCTTACGTTTTTTTCATTAAAAAAAATTGAAGTTTCTCATTTTTGCATTTCTGTCACTTCCACCGGTCTTGACTCAAGTATAATTTATTCTTGATTCGGGTGGAAAAGATGAGGGCAATTGGTTCATATCAAGAAAACGAGTTCTCAAATCAATTGAAGTGGTTTTTGCATTAAAATATTTTAGAACTGCGGCTAAAAAACTGTTAAATGAATTCATTCAATTTTACTTACTTTGAGAAATCGCTTTCTTGTCATCAAGAAATTGTCCTCGTCTTTAGGACAAGTACAAAATTTCTTGGCGAAAGTGTTTTTTTTTTAGTGCAACACATTGTGCTGTTGAAAATTTTCAAGTCACGAGTTTCTTGAAATAAGTAACGAAGTACTTCTCAAAAATCTTGTAATTTTTTTCAGTGCACGGCATGATAGGCAATTGCTATCGATAAGCCTGAACAGAGCGATTACTGTCCGCACAATTAGGGTGATAGTGGCCATTTCCTGAAACTATAAATGCGATTTGAAGCTCAACGAGCAGCGGATAGTTTAACAAGCTGTTTAACATGTCGTGCGTCAATATTTGCAACTTACTTCTGAAAGTTTTCCTGCTTGGCTTGATGTCATCGGCGATCTGCCACGGACAGGAGGCCATCTCCATGGACGAACATTTCAGGAAAATGTGTACGTAATTTTTCCAATTATTCAGGTGGAAGCCATGAGAGCTTCGAAACTGACGGAAAAATTAATTTTATCAACAGAATTTTATTTGAATTAACTATCATTGGTTGTTAATTTTTAAATAAATATGATTTCATAGTGAACACCAGTTATCTCTTCTTGAGATACATTTGATTGGGAGATATCGAACTTCCCTAGAATTGCAGTTCCTTTTATTTGTCGCAATAATGAGGGTATTTGATTTCTTTCTAGCCAAAAGTTTGCTAACTCCAGAAATTTGTTGGTTTACTCAAAAATCAAAATTATTCACATTACTAAATACGTTGTTATCTCAGTCAACATGATCATACGTTGCTCCAAGTAAATTATAATTGAAGTGAGCATTTCGTATGTCGAATCAGGATGAATATTGTTACGCGGAAAAAGCTTTGAGATTGAAGTAAGATGTCGGTGAGTTGAAAGAAGTTTATATTTCTTGACTAAAAAAAATCGCATTAGTTTACAATAACAGAATCACAGATTGCGGCAATTCAACACAAACTTGGATGTCACAAATTTCGTTCAACGTGATGTACGGAAAGCTCAATTTAAACATCGGCTTCATACGAGAAAACAACATTCAATTCATTCCTCAATATAATCATCTCCTAGGTACGAATTTTTTATCAATTCATGAAAGTAAAAAATTTCTGGACTGAAGATTATATTAGGTTTAAAAAAATAGAACTTTTCCCATTTTTGTGGTGAATACATGTGACTTGACACCAAGGACTATTTTGATTCAAGTAAATGTATCACAAGGAGAAATAATTGATATTCACCGTAAGATCTTATTTATTTGAAATTGGTTCAAGTATATAATCCTTATTCCAAGAAAGAAACATCTCAGTAAAAATAATTTTTTCTATCAGGGGTAATTGATGGTTCCGTCCCTATTTCATTTATAAAGTATTTATTTTAATTTGTTCTCTATAATAACGTTTTAATTCGCGGTCATTCGTGTTGAGAATTTGAACCAATAAATTTTTTTTTCAGTTCCGGGCGGAAAAAGATGCACCCAAAAACACTGAATTACCTCCGTCATCTGGTTGTTCATAATTTCAATGTTTCACATTGCCATGATGTGATCATGCGAATAAAGTAAACTCATAAAATTGGAGTTTCTGTTCATTCATTGAATTCAACATTGCCCCAACGGTAAAATTGTTCACCTTTTCCTCAATATTGGTTTCAAAATAATTTTTTTCAACAACGAATGAATCGAATACATTCGGACATGATCTAAAAGTAGCATATTCGAACTCCTGAGGCCCTGACATAAAAAATTGGAAATAAAAATAAAAATAAAAATTGAAAAATAAATTTAAAACAATCAAAATAAAAATAAAAATTTTCGCATAAAAATTTTATCTGTCCTGACATAAAAAATTGGAAATATCGGATTTGACGAGTACAATTGTTCCATTCGGAAGGAAAAACGTTACATGTTTCGTTCTGACACACTGAAATTGCTTTGACGATAGCCAGAGCCGTCTTCAATCATCGATCCAGACATATTATAATAGTGGAACGGTACGGGATCTTGTCCCTCGGACCGCACTCCGGGAAAGCAGCAGCTGTCTACCAATTCTCTGCTTCAATTTTCCCAATTGCCATAGAGTTGTAAGAAAATTGCTTTCAATACTGGAGATATGCCTCAGGCAAAGATTTATGAATAAAATAGCACGAGAAAACTACTCAACTTATTTCTTACAATTGTGAAGAACTTTGAGCCGTCAGTTTTTTATCATCAGTTTGCATAGATATAAGTGATGGGAAATTCTCTGGGGAATCATCGGGATCCGTTAGGCGCCTCACTCTTTACTCTACGGTGAGTACACGAATGAAAAAAACTGCAGAAAAATCTAGCGAATTTGCTAGACAATTCGGTTGGATTTCTATTGAAGTTTCTATTAGTTTTTGGCGAATTCTATTGAAATGTTCAATAGAAAAAGAATAGAATTTGATTTTTCAATATAACTTAGTCTATTGAGATATTTTCTGTAGAATTTCCTCGGCTCAAATTTTCTAAGTTTTTTTGTTTGATTTTCTTGATGAGGCGAGAAGAAAAATAGAATGAAAAAAACTTGGAAAATTTGAGCAGAGGAAATTCTATGGAAAATATCTAAAGAGAATAAGTTATATAGAAAAATAGAATTCTATCAACTTTTTCTATTGAATATTTTCTAATGAACATTTCAATAGAATCAATCAAAAACTAATCGAAAGCTCAGTAGAAATCCGATAGAATTGTCTAACGAATTCGCTAGGATTTTCATGTACCTGTGCCGAGAGAAATGACGCATTTGAATGAAATGAAACGCTTCATTTCGAATTTCCTAACTCGCATTTCAACAATATTTTTTTTTGAAATTGATAAACTTATTCCTATCTATTCCTGTTAAAAACATTGGCGAACGTAGCAGCAGTGACAAAATAGTAAATTACGTCACTACAATCACATGAGTCAGATAACACTTTTATCGCCGTGTGACGTGCAATTTTTTATGTCATTGGACGTACGAAAATAATTCACAGAAAAACCTAGCGAATTTACAAGACAATTCGGTTGAATTTCTATTGAATTTTCCATTAGTTTTTGGCCGATTCTATTGAAATATTTCATAGAAAATATTTTATAGAGAAAGTCAATAAAATTGGATTTTTCAACATTTCTTTATTCTATTTTTAGGAAATTTGAGCCGAGGAAATTCTATAAAAAATATTTCCATAGAATAAAAATCGAATTCTATTGACTCTTTTTGTAGAATATTTTTTATTGAGCATTTCAATCAATATCAATATCAATATTTTCAATTGAGTAGTGGTCTCCCCTTAAATTAAGCTTACTGAATTCAAATAAACCAGCAAAATATACCAATAACTCAATAAATTCGATAAATGATGCTTCAGTTTCTAACTTCATGAAATAAAAACAGGAATTATACCTTTGCCGTCAGTAATGCGCTTATCACCTAGAATTCTCGATATCAGAACTCATGAGAATAAAATAATACAGATTTTTCGGCCTTTGGAGCTCCTTCGATGATTCTCAAACCATCAAAAAAATCGTGTATCCCGTCTACAGCACGGTTATGACGTCACTGATTTGGATTTTCATCGGAACAATGTTGGGGGATTTATTCTCCAATCTTCAGGATTTACTCATAATCACAGATGATGGTTGCTTTCTGGCAGGAATATCGGTCATTGTCTTCAAGCACATCATATTCCGCACTCGTCGTCGGGAAATTATAAAACTCATTCATGAAATTTATTGTCCTATCGATAATCTTGCAAAATCGTCAGGTAAATAATTTTAACTCATTAATACTGCATGAGAGATTCTAGTTGATGCACCCAACAAATATAATACTTTATTTCAAGATTTCAAAAGTTTTGAAATAATATTTCCTAAAGTCTCAACTAGATTATTGATTTCGAAATAAATTCGGTGACAGAAAACGAGGGGCTATTCACAGGCGTAATCGTGATGTCACACGCTGATGTAATCAATTGTAATCACAATGAAATTAATGTAATCATTGTAATCACATGATTACCATATTTGAACACAAGTTTTGTTAATCAAGTGGTAATCATTTGTAATCACTGTAATAATTGGTGATCAGTGTAATCTTTCGTAGTTGCTCCTAGTGAGACCGTGAATTTTATTTTTGAATTTTCGAGCGCGTCATTTCTACCAACGGTAAGTCTCAGAGATCCCTGGATCAATTTTTCTTGGAATCCCAGATGTTTATGGTTCAGAACCTTGCATAGCCAATGCGTTTTGCACAGAGCATTTGTCCGTAGAAAATTGATTCAACAGAGTTAAAATTTCTTCTTATTCTGGAGAACCAACGACTGAATTATCTCTGAATTATCTGCTGGTAAGTTTCATTCTCCATCAATGGGAGATATTCAGTAAATTTATTTTGCTGATGGCACTTATAAATGCCCAAATTTTTAGATGGAGTGATGGAGACTGCATTCCTCGGTTCTAATCCCCGCTCCTCCTTCCTCATTTCTTTGCAGGTTCTAATAATTAATTACTCCATCAATTCATATTTAATAAGAGGCAATTTTTTGTGATATCAATGATTACAGATGTTTGGTAATCACAGAATGTAATCGACGAAATCATTTGTAATCATGTAATCACATTCTGTGCTCTTGGTAATCACGGTTATCACATAGGCAATGGTAATCAGTGTAATCAGTCTCGTAATCCTGGGTAATCGATTACATTTTGTAATCGCGGTGTCACCCAATTCGCCCGTGAATAGCCCCTCGGTTTAGGCACCTATCCGTCCGGAATTCAGTGTCTGAAAAATATCCACAAAAGGTGTGTGAAATTCAGACATTCGTTTTTACTGCGCTAAAGACTTATAATTTCAGATGACGGAGTTCAAATGCTAGTAAAAGTATCTACATTCTACGATCAACTGCACTGCTACAGCTTCATCGGCATAGGCTGTTCTCTAGTACTAGCCCTCGTAACAATAGTGCCAACAGATAATGGCAGCCTACCAATAAGAGCAAAGTATCCATTCGATTCAACGATCTATCCACTGCACAGTATCGCCTTTGCGATCCAAGCAGGTGCAGTCGCAACTGGTGTAGCTGGAATCCTCGGTATGGATGGAGTAGTTACAAGCTTTTCTCGATACATCACACTGCAATTAGAAATCTTGGATTCGAACTATCGCCATTGCCAAACGAAATGGCCTCGTGGCGGTTTTCATTCGTCTGTCGAAAAACGAAAGAATCTTGTGACTGAAATTCGTTGTTTTATTCCTTTCAGTCCGAGGGAAGCGCACGAAGCGAACGATTCATTTGAGAAGCGTTTCAAGATATGTATAAGGCACCATCAGAGAATCATAAATATCGTCAACAATGTCAATGTTATATTTGGATCCAGCATGTTCTGTCAATTATTCGCCAGTTCCTCGATGATATGTTTCACGGGATTTCAAGCAGCTTTAGTGAGTATTGCGAGATCATCTACACGAGTATTTTATGTACAGTGGAGGCTTCGTATAAGATACCTCAGGGACAGTAGGAGAGTGGAATTCCGGGAATCCCTACGCCCCCCCTACGCGCGCCCATAGAGAGGAGAAAAATAGGGATCAGCAGGTTTCAAATAAGATACCTCGCTCGTTGCGCCCGAATTCAATGAAATTTTCATTTGTGCAGAATGAATATCGATAACTAATCAATTTATATGTGTTTAATGTTTTGAATTTATATCGCCCGCGTTCCCTTTTCTCTCTAAACATAACCCCGCGTGATAGAATGGCAGCTGATGTTGGGGGATTGTTGGTGGACTCGAGAATAATCGCAGGCGACGAATTACGATTTTTCGATGGGAAAAGTGTAATAAAAATTGATGTATATTTCCATTACTTGAAAAAGGAGGTGGGACCCTCCCTTAAGGTCATTAGACCCTCATGATCACTTCGTTCATCCCTCCCGTTTGACGCTTAACACCGTTTCATCCTTATAACTACTCTCTTCCCGTTGAAAAATGACCGGGGCCATAGGTATCTTATACGAAGCCCGCGGAACATAAAAATTCGGCAGGCGGTAAAAGTGCCGAGAGTGGGGGTAGGCCTCGAGCGCTCCGAGAACGAGATATCTTATAGAGAGGTATCTTATACGAAGCCTCTACTGTAAATCATTGGAATGTTTACAGGTGCTTGTTTTATGTTGGTAATTGCAGATTTTGCATTAAGGGGAGACTACTATGAGTTTTAAAATTCGTGGGTTATTGGAGTGAGACTTTTCATACGTTGAAGATCGATTATATAGATCTGAAAACGAATAATTAGTGCAAAAAAAATTTTTTTTATTGTTCGTTTGCCCGAAAACGCTTAAAATGCCAAATTCCAGGGCCTGCAATTTTTGAACTACAAAGGATTTTTTTTTTCAAAATTTTCGGAAAAATATGTGGAATAACAATTACGAGCTATTTTTTTTTTAATTCGCCTCTTATATGGCTAAATTTGCTTTTTTTGTATTTTTTTTACACACATAGTGAATTTTTTTATATGAGAAAACCGAAATCAGCTGTGTAGGGATCGAATTAAAAAAAAGCTGGCTCGTAATTGTTGTTCCACACATTTTTCCGAAAATTTTGAAAAAAAAATCTTTTGTAGCTCAAAAATTGGAGGGCCTGGACTGTTTTTAGCATTTTAAGCATTTTCGGGCAAACGAACAATTTAAAAAAATTCAGATCTATATAATCGATCTTCAACGTATGAAAGGCTCACTCCGATAACCCACGACTTTTAAAACTCATAGTAATCTCCCCTTAATTAATAAATGATCTCTCAGGGCGCCAGAGGAAGCGCAAATTTGATCAAATTCGCGATGTATTGCGGGACAGCATTCTCTCAACTCCTCTCATGGTGCTTGATAGGAAATATGTTACTGCATCAGGTAAAATATCAATAGTATTTCCGCTCGCCTTTCGCCGATTGATGCTGCTTCTTACAGAGTCTCACACTGACCGACAGCCAGTGGCAATCGGGGTGGGAAGATGAGCAATATTTCAACTTTGCGTATTTATTGATTTTTGCGATGGTTCGTGGCAATAGATGTCTGGAACTCAAAGCTATCAATTTCTATTCGGTATCGATGGACACATTTATAGTGGTATGCATTGCGAATTCAAAAAGCTTGTTTCTTTTCCCCGACAC